TTTTTTTTTTTTTTTTTTTTTTTATGCCCTTGGCGATGTACTGGCGCTAGAACACTCCTCGCTTTCTCTTTTTCCTGTTTGTGTTTGTATCTGATGTGTTGTTGTACTCCATGCGACCTGCATCTTATATATGTATGTACTTTTTCTTCTTTTCTTGTTCTCTTTCTTCAAGGATTCCCAATGTTTGCTTTGATGTGATGTGATGTGATGTGATGTCTAAGGGATCTTGTTTCTACTTCTCTTGAGTCCTATGCTTGTGTGCATGTACTACGTGTACATTCATCCCCGTTGGAGAAGATATATCTGGAATGGCCTAAGGGTGTGGGAGGTTCAGCGTTCTTCGCTTCGCTGGACTGTGTGTGCGTGTGTGTATGTGTGTGTGTTATCGATCAATGTGAGGTACTTTGTTATTTGTTTTCTTGTCTTGCTTTGTTTCTATATGGTTCAATGTCATAAATTGTGAATTTGAGACCTGACGGGTCGATATTGTGCTGGCTGGCTCTTTCCCAGTTTCATTGATCGTCCGACTGCTTCAAGTTACTCTTACTTTACTCAAGTACATGGTGACAGTTGATGGCGTTGTTCATTTTATGCATGTCATTCTCTATTTCTGTGTATACAGATCGAAAATAGTTAGTTACCCACATCTTCGGATGGGTAATTTTCGGAAAGATCATGTTACTAAGAGGTTCGAGTGCCGCATGCTCGATGTTAACTTACTGGTTCAGTTGCGTGTCGAGGCCGGTGGCATCTAAATGCAAATACAAACACATTCCTGTCTGCTTCGTTTGGCAACTTCTCCTGCTCATTGTCAAAAAACGTGATTTCTTCAACTCTCTGTTTAATGATCATCATGTACAATAGGGTATCTGGACCGGGAAAAGCTTTATCCTTGAATACTTTATTTGGGGTTGTGGCTGAGATGGGGCTGTGGGAAGGGGGAGACTGGATATAAATATGGAGGGGCAGCGAGAAAACAGCAAAGGAAAAGAAAGGGCGTAGGTGGGATGTGGGATGTGGGATCCCGTCTAAACAGACAGAAACACACGTATATCCTCAACTCCGAGATAAGCCACGGCAAGGCAAGGCAATGCAAGAAGTACAAGTTTATCTGAGCGAGCATCATATTGAAACCCATGCTTCAGGTCTCGTGCCTCAGGGTCATGAACAGGAACAGGAACGGAGAATGGTTGGGACCAGTCATCTCTCCCAAGCATAATACGAGGAGAGGTGAAAACACTCAAAAATATTTGAAGTGAAAGAAAGATAATACATAGTCAAAGAAGGAAGATTCGTGAAAATCATCGTCTATCGAAGAACCAGCTCGTACGCTTGCCACCAGTCTCCTGCGACTGGGCGCCGGCTACGGGAGCACTGCTCTCATTTCCTCCGCCACCGCCTCGGAGAGGTTTCGCGATTCTCGAGCCGCTGAAGTTGAAGCCGCCGCTGGCATCCATGCTGGGGAGACCGCGGGTCGAGCCCTGTTTGGCGGCCTCGAGACGCTCCTTGACGGCCGTGAGTTGGGCTTCGAAGCTGTTCCACGGAAAAGAGTGGTCAGCTTAGCGTCCCTAGAGGGAATAAAGAGAGGGTAATCTTACCGGTGATTAGCTTGGGTGAGTTTCTCCTGGCTCTCCTGGAGCAGGCTCTCCAAGCTGGCGATCCGCTCGTTGCGGGCGATCAGCTTCCTCTCCGCGATGGCAACCTCCTTCTTCAGGCCGCTGTTCTGCTCAACCAACTGGCGCTGCACGTGAGTCAGCTGCTCGAGGTTGCGCTCCAGGAACGCCATCTTCTTCTGCTGCGCCCGGTTGTTCGAGGAGCGGAGAACGTTGTTATACTGCTCCCGAGCATCATCCAGCGATATCTCGAGCTCGACCACTCGCTCGCAGCGGTTCTGCAGATCCCGCATCAGTGACTTCTTCATGGCGTCGAAGTCGGCAATCTGTTGCTGCAGGTTCTTGCCAGCCGCGCCGTTCGTCGACACGCGTGTCTGAGAGTCAGCAAGGGACTGCCGCAACTTGCTCAACTCCTCGTCCTTGCGTGCAATCTCGCTGCGCAGTTCCGTAACGGCCTGCATCTCTGCATCCTTGCGTGTGACGTACACCTTCTCCAGCCGCTCCCGGATCTCCTCCACATCTTCCTCGCCCAGGTTCCGCTCCAGAAGGGTCTCGTATTCCCGCTCGAGAGCCGCCAGCTTCTGCTCGAGCTCCGCCCTGCGGCTGTCCTGCAGCTCGCTTAGCTCGCCCCGGTCATTCATCGTAAGCTCAGCTTGGCGAATGAATCCCTGGGTCTCCTGCAGACTGGTGCGCAGCTCCAGCAGGTCGTCGGGCGCAATCGTCTCGCCGGCTTCGCTGATCTTGTGGAGTTCGTCAACACGTGAGAGCAGTTCCTGAAGCTTTCGTTCGTTGTCAGAGAAGACATCGCCGCCAAGATCAAATCCCGCCATCATCTTCGCCATCTTCTCGGCCTTCTTCTTCTCCTTCTCATCCAGAGCAGCACTGGTCTCCTTGGCCTTCATCCGTACGTCAAGCAACTGCTGCTTCACGTCATCCAATTCGGTGGTCAACTCCGAGTTGGCTTCGCGAAGACTGTCCATAGTGATGGAAGCCTCCTTGCTCTCGTATGATACCTTCTCCAATTGCATACGAAGCTCATTCACCTCGGTGGTGAGCTTCTCATTGTCCTTGCCAGAGCGGGCGGTGTTTTCTTTCATGTTCTTCAGTTCTTCCCGAGCCTCGCGCAGGCCCCGCTCGATGCTGGCAATGTGAGACTCCTTCTCCGCGATCTGATCCTGCAGCTCGTTCTCTCGTCTTAGGAACTCTTCCCGTTCATCCTTCTCGAGAACCAGGCTAGGCGTGCTGGAGCGGTCTCCTAGTCTGGAGTCTGGGCGAGGAGTTTCTGAGCGAGGAATGTCCTGAAGACGAGAAGGCGTGCTTGGTCGAGGGGCACGAGCCTCAGCCTTTGCCGCATTGACCAGCTCCGAACCTCTCGAAGGCGTCCAACGATCCTTGGGCACCGCTTCACCACTGCGCCATACGTGAACTTCCGTTTCCAGTGCCGAGATGTAGGTTTCGAAGTTGGTGACTTGACTCTGGGCCTTCCGCAGAAGCTGCTTCAGCTCCGCAGGGCTGAGCTCCGCATTCACCTTCGCCTTGTTCTTAATAGCCTTGGCGCGCACACCGAATCGCAGAGTCGAGATTGTTTCCGCATCGTTGTAGCTACTGGGCGAGCAGTTGATGATCAAGGTGGTTCGCGAGTTACCTCCCAGACTCTCTTGCAAGATTCGGGTAAGTTTGGAGTCACGGTAGGGAATGTGCGTCGATTTGCCGTCTGTTAGCGCGTTGATAACCATACCCAGAGCACTTAAACTCTTGTTGATTTTTTTTGCTTCCTCCAAAGTTTGGCCACTTGCACCAGTCTTGCCGACCTTTTCACTACCTGCCAGATCGACTAAGAAGAGCTGTCCACTTTTGGCAGATCCAGTCTCCAGGTTCTTCTGCGTGACAGTGATGACGAAGATCGAGTGGGACCGAGATGACTCCTGGTTCATGTTCGTTGCGGCGACCGCTCTGGCCGCGCCACCCCTGCGCATCACCTCGTACACCTCCTGCACGCTAGACACATAGACCTCCAGCAGGCCCTTGACGTAGACACCACGAGACTTCTCCTCGTGAACCGGCAAGTTGTCGTTCTGCGGCACCAGCAAATCGCGAATTCGCTCCATGTAAATTTCCATGTAACTAACTCGTACCGTGTACTCGATAGTGCTGGGACTGGTGAGAATGCTGGCGAAGATCTGCTCGACGATGCGTGGAATGATACCCTTGCCGACGTCGTCGTCAATGTCGGAACCCATCATCGTGTACGACTTTCCCGCGCCCGTCTGACCGTACGCAAAGACGGTTCCGTTATAGCCGTTCAGGATGTCGTCCACCGTCGGTCGGATCGAGAAGTTGAAGACATCCTGCTGCTTCGAATCCATGGGAAACACCTGGTCAAAGGTGAAGGCTCCAGAGCCTTCTTTGGACTGTTGGTAATCGCGAAAAGTTGCGTTTTAGCAATCTGGGAAAACAGAACAGCCCCGCCCCCGCTCGTGTATTGCCTTCTCAGCAAAGACAATGAAGAAGGGACATAAGCCATACAACATTCACTAGGAGAGAGGAACTCACGTTGATGTAACATGATTGTTCATTTTCGAATTCCACGATCGGTTCACCCCCGGATGCAAGTTCGACTTTGTTCTGCGGTCGGAATCTCGCAACCACTGTGTCGGGCCGCAGCGCGGAGTCATTAGCTTGTTTGCCGCCACGATTTCACCTCGAGGTTGAAGACGAAAAGAGATAGCAAGAAGCATAGGAAAGGAAAAAGCGCACCCTTGATGGTGTTGGGACCATTAGGGCCAGATGACCTGTCGAGTTGAAATTCGAATTAGTTTTCATTGCCGCATGCGCGTTGGAAGGTTGCCCACGAGGGAGTGTGGGTTTGAAGCGGTGAACAGGGGGGGGGAGGAGGGGTCCCAAAAGCCAAAACAAACGTACGCCATGATCAGTCTGACCCGGACTCAAAGTGAGGCCGATAGAGGGGGAAGAAGAAGAAGAAGGGGTATAACGCAAATAAAGGAAAGGTAAGGGACCCCAAGGGGGGAGAGGGGTTTTGAAAATGAGAAGTTAATGCGAGGAGAGAGTTGGAGAGTGATGAGAGCGGAGAGCAGTAGGCAATTAGTTACTTTTGACGGGACTAACAACTAAACTAAACTCGATGTTTTGGGTCAGGGGTCCACGTGCTCGCCCACCAGTCATTGGGCCAGGGCGGTCAACCATTGCGGTCTGCCTCAAAAATGATGTTTCAGAAGTACAACACTGGCAATGCGTGACGTGGGATTTTCTTGCCTAAGAACTCGCTACCTTGTATGAGGGTCGCATTCTTATCAGGCCTTGAGAGAGGGGGGAATTTCCTCTACCCAACCTAATTCCTAAGTTCTCGGGCCCTCGTCTGCCAACTTCATGACTTCATCGGTATGCCTCGGTTCCACCACGGATGAACAATCCCAAGGCAAGAATGCTGGGGTTTTGCTGGACCATGCAGAACGGTCTGGAGGGGATATTTCAAACCGAAGAAAAGAAGGTAAACGCATGTCGAATTAACGGCCGAAGATGTGACATGCAGTAGTAACTTAAGATGATTTACCGGAGTTTCCTGAATAAGACCCTTGAACTATATAGTCTTCTCACTATAACTAATGGCCCTGGGGATCCTTTATTGAAGTATGACTCTTCCTTGTTTTCTTTTCTTTTTCATTTAAAATAAAAACTTATAGAGCAAGTACTGCCATAACAGCACTCTGCAGTTCTGGCACCCGCATACTGTACTGAGTACCCCGAAGATAGCCACCACAGTAAAGATTGATGGCTTCCTCATTTGACTATGTCTGTGGACATCTCAGTAGCATGTATACATAGAAGTTATATATCTCTAAACATGGGTCAATGCTCTGTTATATCAAATGTCATCATTCTGCAAATAGGAGAAGAAGACATTCCATAAATATTCATTGAGGCCTGGCTGGTTGGTTATGGTCTCGGATAGATGTAGTATTCAAAAGGAGGGGTGAGGATTCAGAAATCTTTTTCTCTTTGTTCAGGACTTTGCATCAACTTATTTATCAGGCTTGCGAAAATAACCATGTTAGACATTAGAAAGTACGACTCAGGAGCCCTACAGTATCCTGCAATAGTCCGTCCATAGTACGTGGTCTAGAGGAGTTAACATAGTAACTTAGCTGTGATCTCTCAAACTTTCTGTCTCTCTCTTCTATGATACTTATCACTCAAGCTATGTTTGCTGCGTCTGTACTATCAGCTCTAACAAGGTCTGAATCTGGTACAAGTCACCCAGGTCCTCGACTAGAGAAACCCTTGGAGAGGGTCTGAGACAGTGGGGCACTACTATACGGTAGATAGTAGTCCAGGGTGCTAAACTTGGGGTCGTAGCACTTTTGAAAAAACCATCACACAACATATCAAACTCCCTTAGTCAGGCTTCTCTTAGGGTATATAAAGACTAAGCTGATTTGCACAGAAGTTCCAAAGGTGTTCCCAAAGGAATTCCCAGTCTGATACGTCTAATACTCCGCCGGGCGTCCGTCTTCAAATCACATGCAGATAGCTTTGTTTCTCTTCGCTCCGGTAGATAGAAATGTAAACCTCTCTTAGCAAGCGCCACCGCAAGCATGAGCCAATGTAGACAGCCGCATTCAACAGCAAACCCCCTCAGATCCAGACACAGATATACCAAATCAGCAGATATAGCGCACTTTCCCTACCTGATTTCTTTTTCCTGATCTCAATGATGCACTTCCTCCTACTACTGACCTCTATACTTCTGACCCTCTTCCGATCATGCGAGGGCTCCCCAACCTTCCAAGAAGAATACCGAGGCAACTACGTCCCAGCGGTGATTGACACCCCGCTTGGCCACCAGGTCGTAGCCCCAGATAACCCTTACGTGGCCGCAGCCGGGCCTGATAAGCTATACTTCCTCGACACCCGGTTGAATCCTGAGACGGCCCAGCACATCAAGGAGCAAATTGAGAAGGCCACCGAGCCGCACCAGGACGGATATATCGCCATTGACGAGATTGCGGCCACGGCAAAGATAAGTAACAAAGTGACCAAGGAAACAATCTTCGAGTTTGACCCCAACTACGCCAGGATGCTGTTCGCCTGGGGCATGAACAGACATAATCCGGATTTCAAGCTTCCGGAGCATGAGCCGGCCTGCGACTGGTTGGTGACGTATGACCTAGACAATATCCCCCATTGACGATTAAGGGCGTCAATAAGTTCTGCTACGGTTATGGGTGTTACGCTGCCCAAGAGTGCTGATAGCAGATCAATGGTAACTCTCAAATTTATCACACGTATCGGGTGGACTTTGAGAGTGGCCAGGGGCTGACAGATCCCATTGGCACGTGTCTCGCGAAGATCTGCTCCACGGCTATTGGCGCGCCCAGGGCAGATGGAGAGACGGACGTCAATGACTACCAGCGCATGAACGAGTTGCATTTTTGGACGAACCACTGCAATCAATGAAAGGTATTAGTATACCAAGAGTTCTAGTGAGCGGAGGGGGATGAGCCAACTTGTGACTCTCCAGCTTCTTGTTATGTCCAGTAACGTAGTGGAGTTCTGCTGTTGCGCTGACCGGCAGCGCGTGCAATTGAGGGCCTTGATATTGCAGAGCCCATGTAGTGCCTCGATCCAAGACAGTGAAGGAAGGTACTAACTGCCATCAGTAAGTTGTCATGTCACATAGTGGTGCTTTAACTTAGTGGGCATGATTTGCTCGACAGATCACAGCAAAGTGGGGAAGAGTCGATGCTTCCGCAATGGATGGACAGGGGCCCGGGGGGCGTCATCGTAAAAGGATAGCGGGTCACGGAATCTATCATAGCAAAAACTTAGTAACTTTCTGTTGTTCTTTCCTCGCATTATGAAAAGAACGTGACCACTTCTTCGACGGGAGATCACCTATCCATCTGCCAAGGAAGGGGAGGTCAACGTTCTCCATCAATTATCTTACTATGATAAACAGAAGAGGTTCTTTTTCTCATCTCAATGATCACCAAGATTGGATCAAGAACATTGTTGCGCATCATTCTCAATCTGAACTCACCCGATGCTTGTCATGTGTCAAACATTGAGGATTGATTACATGGTAGCTGTAAAGTTTGCATTCCTGTCACTGTTTGCACTAGAAGTGCAAAGCAGGTGATTCTTCGACTCCCGCTCCCTTACAGGCTTGGTGAGGAGTTCATGCCAGGCAACGGAGATGAGAAGGTCAGATGCGAGGCAGGAACCTATGCATGGCTCCAGAAAAACTGCCCAGACGTGCCTATTCCGGTGTTATATGGGTTTGGCCTATCGAATGGTGAAACTGTATCAAAGCCCAGATACTATTCATGCCTACCTACTCAGCTGACCTATCTTAGTTTACTTGCTTTGAAAACTTGCCACTCTTGTACAAGTGGTCTCACTCCATCTGGTGTCGAGTCTTCGCATGGCTGGGGTATCTGTCTCCATCGAGATATGCTCCAAACCCAGCCAAAAGAGAACATACCGGTCACCTCACCTATTTGCTTCTCGAATACATCGAACCAAGCCGGGGATATATGCTTTCGGACACATGGACAGATAATCGACATGACATCAAACTGTGGACAGCCCTTTTCCATAGCCTTTCCCGGATTCTCTTGAGCATCAGCCGAATACCAGTCCCTAGGATTGGCTCGTTTATCATCGACCACAAAGGGTAATTCGACTTTAGCAGACCGGCCGCTCTCAATTCAACTTCAACAGTTGGGAAATGAACATATACCCACGGGCATGCATCGTGACTATACATACTCCACTGTTGATTCTTACGTGGCAGATGTGCTTACAATCCATGACAAACGTTTCCAGTATCAACCAAACGCAGTGAATGACCTTGGCGACTGTGTTTTCCAGTTATCCTCACTCTCCGCAATGCGCACAATATACAAGTCATTCTTCCAAAGAAAATTTCGGCGAGGGCCATTCGTTCTCTCGCTAACGGACCTTCATCGAAGCAACATCCTTGTTGATGCGGATTGGAATATAAATTGTCTAGTGGATTTAGAGTGGGCCTGCTAGTTGCCGATTGAGATGATAGGACCTCCTCACTGGCTGACAAACATGGCCGTTGATGAGTTGGTGCCATCTGCGTATGACGGATTGCGGACGGAATTTATGGTGCTGTGATCGCCGAGGAGCAAGAAATGGCAAATCACAATCCACCGTTACTATCACTTGTTATGGGTAAAACATGGGCGACAGGCACCTTTTGATATACATTGGCTCTCTCGAGCCCCTCTGGTCTATTCACATTCTTCAAAGAACACATACGACCACTATTCTGCACGGAATATCTCGAAGAGTTTAACCTAATTATGCCTTTCCTTTGGGAAAGGAATGTGGGACGCATCGCAAGTCAGAAACTTTCTGATAAGAAAGAGTATGACAGTTAACTTCAACAAGAATTCAGTCTCGACGTTCAGGCATGATTTTCTTCAAGGGAAGCCTTGTTTTCTACTCTCTTCCTGTTGCAGGTGGTTGATTGATGTGAAAGGACATTCTCAACTTTCTTCTTGGTGTGCGGGCGAGCAGGATCATCTGCGAGGGAGGCGCTGACAGTGGGCTATCGAGAGGGCTGTGACGTCTCCGAGGCCTCCATCGCTTGCACCGGTGATCACAACTTCAGGGGAGTCTGAGTAACGAATCTGGTCAACACACGATGCGGTAGGATACCTGTTTTATGTGTGCTGGATGGACCCCATCTCTCACAATCACCTCGTAAGCCTTTGTGTTGAGATTGAAGTCTGACATGATGAAAGTTGCACCAAGGAGAAACAGACACATTCAGGAACAGTCCAACCTAATGTAGATAGGGTTCGTTTTATTCAAAACCGAGGAAATAGTAAATTGCATAAGTGGACCCTGGATATACAGTAGCAGCGTATCGACTCACGGAGCCCTCTCGTTTCTTCGAGCGACGCTTGCGGTTCTCTGGATGCTGATACACGAAACTGGCTGTAGCGATGAGAGGGCATCAAAAGTATCCGCATGCTGGTTCGGATGCTTAGCAGATTGCTTTTTTGGGCCACCACTGATGGCTTAAGTCGTGGTTGTAGTGATAGTACTATCATAGTGAACGAGTTTGGATGTTCTTATCGCAAAGTGGTGTTGCTTCGATTAGTAGACGCAGACGCTGATATATTCTGCTTAGGCTTCAAGTTATGCAAACAGCTGTAGTACTTAAAGGGATGCTCGAGTCCCTCTGATAATGTCTTCATGATGTCCCGGTCGCGCCCTTCCTGTTGTGAAGTGTGTGTCTTGATACCAACAGGATCCCACAGAAGCCCATGCCACGGCTTTACTAAAGCACTATATACTCTTGAATAGTATATCTAGGCATAGTCCATACGTTATATAGCTTGTATACAGCAATTCTGTCATCTATATAGTCTACTTGAAGTAGTTAACTTGGCTATATAAGCTTGGATAAGTCATTGTGAAAATCACGTGACATTTCTAGAAGTTACTGCGAGAGTATTATAGCTTAGGTTACTTAGGATATATACGGTCATTCTGGCCGTATACTCTGGGCCCCTTATTAAAGAGCAGCGCCAAGCTGAAACTCAGTAGAAAGAGAGGAAGGTCGTTTCATTTCTGCAGGAATCCAGTTGAACAGCGGCAACCCACAAGAAAAGGCAAAGTCGAATGCTTTGATGCGAACAGCGCACAAAAGGATGTGAAACACGGATGCAGCTACTCACAGATACCAATGGGAAATCACAACAAAAAAACAAACAGATCGAATAACCAGGCGCCAAAACCCCACGCTGTGCACGTCATCAACGGTGTGCAAGTCCCTTAGTTCACTACCCTTGCATTCCCACAGAGCCGTGCAAATCGGGCCATGCCTAAGGCACATAGCCCAGTGGGAACATGAAGCAAGGCAGGATCGACATCATCATGAACCAAGAGACCAAAACCCGCGTATACTAGTATATCATAGGTGTGTCACCAATTCTCAACTCTAATCTTCCCAGCTCTTCTCAACCGTCTCGCGCACCCGCTTGATATACTCCTTGCGGTTGTCCTTGTAAAGATTCGACGCTTCCACGTTGGCGGGAGATGAGGTGTTCGGGTCGTTAAGCAAGCTAGTGACAGAGAGGTGGTCGTTAGCATCACTTCATACCCATCTTGATGGATCTAGTTTGTGCAAGGCAAAGGAAAAGCACCTACCTTTGGATACTGGTAAGAATCGCTGCCACGTCATAGGTTGGGCTCCAACGGTTCTGCAGGATGTCCAAGCAGAGCTCACCCGTGCCATAGACATTGGGATGAAACATCTGGCTGATGAACTTGACGCCTGGCGGCTTGTTGGGGTATTGCTCTTCAAAGTGCATAACGAGGCGGAATGTACCGTCCTCAAAGGGCGTGTCGGCGGGTCCGATGATGACCGCATTCCTAGAGGGGTTGTTAGGCTAGATTGCGGGGGAGAACATTGAACTGATTTCGATCACTCACCAAGTCATAACATTGTCTGCCACGGGAGATGCAGACACTCCAGCGGGAGGGTCGGTCTGCATGCGCTAGATTGAAATAAGATGGTTAGCTCCTGGATCTCCAGCCAGTGGGTTCGGTTCATAGAAAGCTTGGAGCAGATCATAGGCAGGAGATCCATTCCAACGCAAGGGACATGAAATTAGATTCCACTAATGCTGCAAGTATTGACATACCTTGAAATCACGCATGAGGCGACGGCGGGCAGAGGTCGACATGGCGGCGGGGTATTGACGATGGACGGAGAACTCTCGGAAGACGGTCCAAGAACAAGTCGAGATAGACAGCTGCGGGTGGCAAAGCTCACAAGCAGGAAGCAGACAGCAGCGAACGGCTAAAGAGGTGGATATAAGGCGGAAGAAGTGAGTAGGATCTCAGGCCGAACCCTCAAAGAACAGAAGAACGAAGGCTTGAGCACAGTGGGGAATCGGCGGGATAGGATTCGGGATGAGGAGAGTGAATAGACGGACGGACGATAATCGGAGCGGGAGGAGGATGGGGGATGAGCAAGCAGTAGCAAGAGCGGGCGTTGACACTAAGGATAATAATGTTTGTTCAACAAGTCACGGAACTAACCCGAAGAGGGCTAGTGTGTTAATGCCACTCTAAATTACCTAATGCTTGATTGTCGTCGCTGTGCTCACCGCCTGCTTTAAAAGGAGGCCATGATTTTCTCCTTCCCGCCCACGGTGGACTAACCCGAAGCAGGAATAACTATGGAATCGTCCCGCCTTACATACGAAAGCTATACTACCTGCGGTTGACATACCAGTGATCCAGAGGCATACCAAACCATATCAGTCACTGATAGAAGAGTCTGACAAGTTCTAATCACAATCATGTCAAGCTACTGAAGAGTACGCTCTTGTGGAAATGTTAGGACCGTTGGAATTACCGCAGTTCCCCTCTTGCTCGGATTGCCTGGCATGGTCGGCAGACGGGGAGCTAGCCATCGCTGCGGGGGAATTTGTCCAGGTCCTTGTCAGGATCCCCTGCACTTCTGTCGCGACTGTACGAAATGAGCTGCTAACCGCGAACAGACCCCCAAGACGGCCAATGAAAAGGCTGAACAGGGCCCTGTACAGAAAGCTATCAACAACTGGCACTCCAATCGGTTCCGAGTCAACGTTTTCACAGAAAGCGAGTGGCCTACCATCTACCCCCAAAAGCGTGACCATTTCTCACTGGGTGGCGAGCAGTCCCTTAGCACCGTCGTGGGTCTCGCCTGGTCTCCTCCGGGCCTGGCAAAGTTCCGGCGCTGCGTGCTCGCCGTCTTTACATCCAATCTACTGCTTTCCCTTTATGAGCCTGTCGGCATTCAAGGAAAATGGACACGAGTAGCAATTGTGAATGACTCTCTGAAACTGTACTTCCAACCCCAGGTGCAGGACGAGGGGTTGGCCCTGCGAAAATCCGCCATTCGATCATTCTCGTGGTCTCCGCCTCTCAAGGTACCTGCAACCGAGCAAGATGCGGACTCACTAGCAGTTCCCGGCTTCGAGAGTCGGTGGGGCCATCAAATTTTGGCAGTTGCAAATGACGCCAAGGAAGTGATCTTCTTACGAGTACGGAGCTTGGTAGCGGTGCAAAGTCCAAGGTACACGGCTGATGTGCTTGCTGTGGCTTCCTGGGATGCATCCTCAAGCAACTATCCTGAGATTCAGCCTTCATCTGTCTTTGCCGCTGCGCTAAAGTCGAAGGCCGTTACTTCATCAATGACATGGGGCCCATGGTTCTTTGCAGATGACGGGCGTTTGAAAAGCCCAACTGCGCATCGGGCGATAGGGAATCTTGCCGTTGTGCATGGGTCGAGGTTGAGAGTCTTGAAATTCGATCTCGATCCGACCACGCTTAGGCAGAGTTCAGGCATAGGCATGTCTTCAGAGCCAGTAGCTCAATCAGATGAGAACACTTCTCTTTATAGCGAGCAGCTCCAGGACCACCGATTTACCGGCCCCATAAAGTGGATAGACATGGTAAGACGATACTCACTACAGACTTATAAGTTCTGACTAACAAATCTCTCAGACTGATGCGCAACAGCTCTGTCTGGCTGCGGGTGTCTTTGGCGGTATTGTCCTCCTCACAATCCCTTACTCGGCGTACGGTGGCCAGGGGAAGAACTCTGCCAAAATCCATTTGCAAAACCTACCTTTCTACGATGACACTGCAAGCGGAAGCCAGTCTGAAGCTCCCAGACACTGGGACCCAGTAACTTGTAAGGATATAAGTCGCCATCCACAATGCCAGTACTGACAGCAGAAAGCCATGACTGTCACAAGAGATCCTGATCCTGAATCTCAAACCCTTACGCTTCATGTAGCAACAGGCGGAGGAAACGCAATCACGAAACACTTCGCGCCCGACCATGAAGACATACCAATTCTTAAAGCCGCATGGAGAAATCAGATCGATGAGATGCGGGAGCAGTTCGACTTTGACCGAGATTTTGGAGGTCTCGCTGTGGCCAGGATCTGGGGTTTGACCTCATGCAACGACATCATTGCGAGCGCCACCACGCTCCACCCGGGGGATGTCATCGAATACCGCACGGCCTCCGAGGACCGAGTGATCATCACCTTCTCCACGACCACCGGCGCAGTAGCACAGGAGCTTCCTGACGCACAAGCATCAACGCCAGACCCCAACTCGCCCTCTGGCCCAGATTCACCCGGCTCACGACGCGACGCAGCCCTGAGGCACATTTTAAATTCCCAACATGACGAAAGGGGCAGGCCACCATTATCTGGCAAGATTCTCTACGCAGCCGCCTGCTCTACTATCGTCGCCTGCGACAACGAGGAGATCATCGAGCAAGCTCGCCAGGTACTCATCAGACTAGCCACTGTCACGGGCGCAGATCTGAACGAGGAGATATCCAAATGTTCCACCACCAACAGCACGGTAGCCGCAAAGCCATCTGGGGAGCTCAGTGGACCTGGCAGTCACCTCTTTGAACGATGCGACATCTGCGATGCCGGGCTTGCGTGGTATTCGACCCAAGAAGCGCAATGCGCCGCGGGTCATCTTTTCGGTGTGTAGACCCTCCACTATCACCACGAGCTTATTGTCTAGTCCATTTGCACTGACTCAATTGTTTTTTCGCATGCACAGTTCGCTGCGGCTTAACGGCATTAGCGATCCAAGACCCCGGGGCGTCTAAATTCTGTTCCGGATGTGGACAGGAATATCTAAACGAGGACGAGATGGACGCTTCAGACCTCGAGCTCCAGCGTTCTTGCCAGAGTCTCTTCGATCTATTCGATACCTGCACTTCGTGTGGCGGGAAATTCCGGCCGTAAAATTACCTAGCCTACTTGACTTCACGAAGGATATTCACGTAACCAAATCACAATGCTCTTACTGATCTATGTAGTCTGCTAACACAAAACCACTAATACAACCCCAACAACCTCCCAGCCACCGGATTCCACTCCCCATCCCAGCGGCGCGTACTCTCCCTCCTGGCGCCATCCCGCAGCTTCTCCAGCTGCGCATCATCCCCAAACAGCTCCACCAAATGGCCCAGCAGCTCCTCCGCGCTCCCAAACCCCCGTCCATTGACCCCCTCCGTCACCAGCTCCGGCCACGCCTCGAACCGGTTCCAGCCAACCACCGGCAGCCCAGCTCCGAACATATCCACAACCTTCATCGGCAGATCCACGCCACTGCTACTGGTATGCAGACTGACGCCCAGCGACGCCGACGCCAGCAGACGCGCGTAGTCCTCCATGCTCAACCACGCGGTGCGGATCGTCACCCTCTCCAGCTTCCCGGCGGCCTCCAGCTCCTTGATGCGCATGAGATACATCTCCTTCTGGGGGCCCTTGCCGGTAATAATCGCCAGGACGGAGGGAAGGTCGCCTTCTTGTGCCGCTAGTGCAGAGTATCGGCATAGGGCGTCGATGAGGACGGAGAAGTCCTCGTCGGCGGTCCAGGAGGTGGAGCTGACGAGGACGCGCAGGCGGTTGGTTTTCACGAGGGCGCGCAAGGGTTCGGCGGTTTGGGGCAGGGAGAGGAGGAAGGCGTTGCGGGTGGATTGGTCAGGGATAGGCTGGAAGTGGTCGGCCGGTCGGTCGTGGAGGGGGAGAACGGGGGCATGGAGCCCAAAGTCTCGTTTAAGCACGGTGGCCATGGCGTTGGTGACGCAGATGTGCGCCGTGGCGAACCGGCCGAAGAACTTTTCGTAGCGCTGCGAGAGGCGCACGAGCGGGTGCGTGTCGCCCAGCTTAAGGGCCAGGATCGTGTAGCCAAAGTTGTGCCAGTCGATTAGCAGGTTGGTTTTGCGGAGGAGGCAGACGAGGGAGCTGATGGCGAGGGTGGGGATGGAGGGGGGGTTCTGTGAATGGATAGATAAATGTGGTTAGCGGGGGCAGGTTGTCTTGTAGGGCAGGGAGGTTTTAGAGATAGGTGACGGACTTGGACGAGGAGCCATTGGGCTGGCTTTGTCCGGTAGGCGAGAATCCACCAGAGGCAACCAATCTGGAATAGCACTTTGAGTGGCCCAAAAAGGAGGAATAGCAGCTTGTTGCTGGTTTGGAGGCAATTCGGGTGCGGAGGAAGCGCGACGATGGATATCCGGGGATGCGAGACGATCTCGGGGTGGACTTCCGATTCTAGAGGAAGAGTATGTCAGCCTTTTGCCATGCGACGGCTTTGGTCCTGTTGCGCACCATGGTAGCCGATGAGGTCCACTTGTCCTCCACCTTTCGCGACACTGAGCGCATGATACTGCATGCGCGGGCTGCGACCGATGTCCCCTAGTACGAGGATCTGAACAGTGGCTTTCGATTTGCCGGACTCATCTTGTTGTGCTGACGAAGAAGCTGTATACCGTGACGGAGAGAGGAGTATGATTGCCAGCGTGAGTGCTGTGGATGCGTAAAAGGCGATGTTGAGGAGGGTTGCGAGCATGGCGGCGGCAGATGAAGCTATGGCGGAAGCTATTGGGGTGATGAGAATCTATACGGCATTATGTGCAAATTTCAAATTTCTCGGGGAAGATAATCGCGTGCAATCATTGGGTCCAGACGGCTAGGTATATGAGCCGCTTATTATAATTGCAAGCTGGGCTGTGACTTTTGATCCTGCGCGAAACAATGGGATGAATCTAGAGCTCTGGGGAGTTGGGACAAGCTGGCAGCAGCAGGAATCCTGGGCCGAGGACCGGAACCCCACCACACACGCCGGCCGCGTCACAAATAACAAATCGGGCAAATTGACAACAGGCGCGCGGCTCGTATTGATAGGTTACATGCCACTGTCCAATTAAGTCTCCCTCGGCCTTTTGATCCTTCTTTTTAAGTTACCCCGGATTATCCCCTCAAAGTCCACCTGGAATGTCAGCCTGGAGACTGAGTGATTAACTACTCTTTGCAAAGTTGCCATCCTGCTCCCACTAACATGTCCACTAACATGTTGTTCCTGAATCGTCAGGCAACTGCCGGGATGCGATGATCACGTGGCATCCGTTATCACCGCCGGCCGATCGTCGTGCCGCTATCTGGGGGCTATTTGTCCGCCATCACCATCAACCATCACCATCACCCTTAGATCGCCACAAGCGCCCATCGTGGTCGCCCCCTTATCCTCCCAATTGATTCCCTTTTCATGAGCACTATGTTGCCTCTTTGGCTTCCAATCCTTGATCTTCTACTTGTCCTGGGCTTCTAAAGCTCAATTTCTGTTTCTTCAACCTAATAGCTGTTCGCCAAACCTCGGCTCCAGCACCCGCTCTCACGAACTCCTCCGGCTGTTGGCTGGACTTTTCCAGCAATCGTACATAACACCACCTTTTTGAAACAATGTCGGCCGGAACACCAGTGTCCGTCGTGGAGACAGCTCCCCTCAATCACGGGCTTGGACATAGTCGCGGCCATCGTTCACGATCATCTCGCAGGTCGCACGGGCCAATTTCCATTTCGGCCTCTTCTTTCGACCTGTCTTCAACGAATCAACAGCCCCCACAACCTGTAATTAACCCGGCTTTTCCCAATGGCAGCTCCGGAGAGTCGATCCAGCACGAGCATCACCATACACATTCCCATACATCGAACCACAGCAGTTGGGAAGCGTGCGGCCATGATCATGCCGTCTCCTCATGCAATAATACCCATCACACAAAGGATGATAGTACTACCGGGCTGTTTGGTGCTCAAATGCTGAATGTGTCGGCTGAGGCTGGTACGAATACAATGTAAGGCCCCTTCCTGCGTTCTCGCCGCCAGTACTAACATTTTCAAAGTCAGGAGGCGCTCGCTGGACTCCTTCTATCGCTGCCATGGATCGCCCTCTCTTGGTACTACCATCATCATGCACATTGGAAGATACAGCAAAGGATATCGGAAGACCCCGACGCGATCGCATCGAGCAATGGCAGACTAGAACAAGTCGAACGGAAGACAGCTATGCTGACAGCTGTGACGCTGATACTGTATGGATGTGGAGAAATCGTGCAATCAGTTCAGCGGGGAGGAACCGACTCCGTTTTTGCACTCCCTCAGCTGAGTTCAGGCACAGCAAGGGTGGTGTTTCTGCGAGCAGCTTCGCTTGCGTTACCGTTGTATGCCGGCTTGAAAGTTGGAGGATTCCTAGTGGCTTTCAGCCTGCTTCTTGCAGTAGCCTCTGGTGTGCCCACGCTACTCCAGGGGAATGGACCGCACAGCAGTGGCCACTCTCGATTGAGCCAAAAGAAGGCTAGCAGTGCTGTGATTGTCGTCGTGGCTGTGCTCAGCTTCTTGGGCTTGAATGCAAGCTGGGACGAACATCCATTCTTCGGTTACGCGGCTTTGCTCGTGTCGGTCTTTGTACTCCGCCCTTTTTTCTCAGGGATGAAGTCCGCTGATGTCGACCTCTCTACGCCTACGTCGTCTAAGAGGCAGGAATCACAGTCCAGCATAAGCGCTACTTCAGCTGGCGACTCCGTGTTGACTACTTTGTCGGGCCTGTTTCTGGCACTCATTACCATCATCATCTCCGGCAATATCTCGGTTGACTTTACGGATATGATTTATCACTTCGCCGCCTCTGGTGCCTTCGCACTCAGCTTATCCTCTATTGCCCGCTCACATTTACAGTCCCCCCGCAAGATAGGCCTTGTTCTTGGGTCCGGCTTCGCAGCTCTTGTATCCTCACCGCCGCTTCAAGACAATGTTCAGGTCATCTACGTCTCCCGGATCATTGTCTCTCTTATATCTTATTTTGCTGCGCGATTTGACGACAGAGCCATTCGCCACTCTGCACACTCGCATGCACATGAACATCACAGCCATTCCTCTGCTGATACTTCAAAAATTACCAAGTTTATCCTCCGGTACAGCGAACCGTACCCGCTTCTGTACAGTATTCTCAAGGAAAGCGATTCGCGACGCATTTTCTACTTCATGTGGTAAGTCTCGTGCTACTCTATTATGTTCCACCACGACTAACACCTGCCAGCCTTAACTTTGGCTTCATGCTTGTTCAATTAGCATACGGTTTTTTGACTGGATCTTTGGGCCTGCTCAGCGATAGTATTCACATGTTCTTTGACTGCCTTGCTCTAGTCGTGGGTCTTTGTGCTGCTGTCATGAGTAAATGGCCACCCAGCTCGAGATTCCCGTACGGTTACGGCAAAGTCGACACGCTGTCCGGGTTCGCCAATGGCATTTTTCTCATGTGAGCAATGCGAGCTGCCAGTCGCCTTGACCTTAGACTAACATCATGTAGGATCATCAGTATCGAGATCATCTATGAAGCAGTCGAGAGATTGTCTTCTGGTAGCCAAATGCACCGCATTGGTGAGCTTTTGGTAGTTAGCATTGCGGGTCTGTTGGTGAACCTCGTCGGAATTATGGCTTTTGATCATGGGCATGCACATGGACACGACCATGGTCACGGACATTCGCATGGTAACGAGAACATGCATGGCATCTTTCTACATATTCTTGCCGACACGCTTGGCTCTGTCGCTGTGGTCATCTCGACTATTCTCGTCCACTATTCTGGCTGGCCTGGATATGACCCCATTGCTTCATGCTTGATTGCGATCTTGATCTTTGCCTCGGCAGTCCCGCTCGTCAGCAGTACGGCGAAGACACTGCTACTGGCATTACCTGCTGACGTGGAGTACAATGTCCGCGAAGTCCTAGCGGGAGTTAGTACTCTACGGGGGGTGGTTGGGTACACTGTCCCTCGATTTTGGTTGGATGACACAGGGAAAGAGTCTTCTGGTCATCACCACCATGGCCATGATCATGGTCACAGCCACTCCCACAGCCATAGTCACGGTCATGGCCATGACCATGACCATTCCCACAATCATAGCCACTCTCATGCCCACAGCCACAATCACAACAGCAACCACTCGGATCCTCACTTTTCCTCCCCCAATAATGCTCATGGCCACGGCCACGACCACAGCACCCACTCCCATTCCCACAGCCATGACCACCATTCCCACTCCCACGAATCCCACAATCCAAAACTTCTCGGTGTGATTCATGTCATCGCTTCCCGCACCTCCGACCTCGAGGATGTCCGCCAACGCACGGTCGACTACCTCCGCGGAAAAGACATGGACATTCTCGTCCAGGTTGAGCGCGAAGGCGACGGCCGATGCTGGTGCGGCGGAGGTGGAAATAAAGCCATCTGAGGCCGTTCATGTTCTTCTCCATAAGTACCATATACATAATCAATAGACAGGTCGGGACACTGGCTCTGAGTTCTCTTCTGATCTCCCCATGTTTTTAACTCTTACTGCAACTGATGTGGTATGTATGTGTCAATGTATGTATGTCTCATACTTACTTCTTCTTTTTTTTTTTTCTTTTTTTCTCTTTCCTCTTCTGACGACGGGGCTTTCTTATTTTCCAGTCCTTGATTGGCTCTCAGCTACAAGGAATGTCTAATCTCGATGGTTGAAGCTGTCCTTTAGGACGTATGTGTTTCGGGATTTGTACTATATTCATGAGCGTATCAGCAACCAGACCACGGCTATTGACCGAATCGCAAACTTGCAACAAGCGGAGGGTTATATGATCCCACTTAAACTATCTTCTTCCCTTGTAGACATATACACACCCATAGGCGAACAGCGGCCCCATCAACCCCCAGTACAGAAAAACAACATAACCTACCTAAACTTCATCCACAACTCGTCATACTATCACATGGTAGTCACACACAATATCCCCTCCACATGAAGATGAAAGAGGGGGGAGGTAGTAGCGAATCTCCCCGCTGCAATTGCTCACATTTGCTCACACCAAGCCAACGGAGGAGCGTGTGTGCATGGTGCACAGTAAGTACTACCTTCTCCGACTGGTTAGAATTGGGCAACTGGCAAATGAATGCTCCAATATTCCCAGATTTCTTGCCAATATAATAAATAGTCTTTGTAGATCTGTGTGTTGTCCCTTGAAAGTTAGGCCGGTTCCGATGGGGGTTGGGGGGAGGGCGGGGACTTCGCAGTTGATTGTACAGAAAAGCTGTACAGGACAAGTGCCATGAGCATGTGAAAAAAAATAACCGAAAGATGGGTGTTCGTCTGGAGTTGATGGATGGAGAGGTGTTGGTGCTGGTGCCAGAAGATTTCACTTAGTAAAGGGTTTGTGCGACCTTCGCCTCGGTGCATTTCTTTTTTTTTTTGGTCTTTTGCTCTTGTTGCCTCTCTCTGCCTCGTTTGGTGTAGAGGAGGAAGTAGGTACTACTTTGATTTTTGTTGCATTGTAATGAAGTGGTTTTCCTGATATTTTGAGAGTTGTTCTTATCACATCTGATATCTAGCACCAGTTTACTTCTAGCACCAAGGAAACAAGACACTGTTCGGGCATATATAACAGCACAGGAAATAATCTACAGATAAGCACAGACAGTTTCAAATCCTCGATGTCTAACACCCTCTCAAGCCCCTCGCTACACGAGGAGGTAATCAAACGCAGAGGTTATGCATCGCTATTCGAGAAGCACACTGTCTTGCTGACTGGCAGCACCGGCGCGCTGGGGGCCGTACTGCTCTACAAACTCGCAGTGCAGGTCCCCACGCATAAGATCTATGTTCTGATCCGGGGGTCCCCGGACCTCGCGATTCAGAAATGGAAGAAGGCGATGCCTGTGCAGACGCAGCCGATCCTTCACTCTCGACTCGTGCATTTCGTAGTTGGCGACATGACGAAACCGGATTTCGGGGTCGACGCGCTGGTGATGGAAGAGCTGCGCCAGCAGGTCACCCTGGTCATTCACGCGGCCGCCAAAATCACCCTGGATGCAGACCTCGCGGAGGCGGTCGAGAATAACTGTCTTCCGTCCTTGGAGTTGGCAAAAATGGCCGCGCGGTTCCGGAGGTTGAAGCTGTTCGTGCAGGTGTCGACCGCTTATGTGAGCAGCTTTTTGCCAGATGGCCACGTGGCGGAGAAGTTGTATTCTGTTACCGCTGAAGTAGGCGGCCAGGATGAGGAGGAAGATCCGGAGAAACTACTCGGGGCGATCCTCCGAGGTGAAGGCTCTCCTTTCACCGAGCGTTTCTCGTCAAACTATACGTACGCCAAGTATCTGATGGAGCGGCTGATGCTGCAGAGGTTCCCGACGTTGCCCTTCCTCTTGGTGCGTCCGACAATTTTCGGTCCGGCAGTCAGGGACCCGTACCCGTATTATGCGCCTGAAAACTCGACTCCGCTGAATAGATTCGCCACGCTCTTTCTTGCGACCCATGGGGGGCCGCAGGTCTGGCATGCGGCTGAGGGCTATGACAGTGCGGCGAATACTTTAGATGAGATGCCAGTTGACTTGGTGGCAAATGCTTGTCTTCTACACGCTGTCGCGGGAACGCAGGGGGTTGTCCACATTGGGTCGCAATTGTATGTAAAGACGACACTGGATGAGATGATGCAAGCAGCGGTTGTGTACGCCCCCGAAGCGATGCGTCATGCTTTACCACAAGTGCTTTTCGTGAAGGATCGAACTACACCGCAATGCTTTCTTGCGGAGCTGGTCAAAGTTGGCTCGCGCAACTGGTTGTTTGATTGCGGTCGCTCATTCTGGTTGAAGCAGCTCGGAGGTCCGCTGAGTTTGACCGCGTGCCAGCATGATGCAGATAAAATGACTCGCAAACGAGCCAGAGATGCTTGGGAACGAGTGTTGAGGTCAGTGAAGCTTTAGCATGGGGCTGGTCGTCGCTTCCTTGTCGAAATCTCTCGCCTGAGTATATAGTGGATAGTGTGATGGTTTACCCTCAAAGCAAGAATAAACCAAGCAAGAAGCCCAGTGCTATTCGGTTGGTGAATCGCGTGGGTCAAAGTTGAAATCAAGCTCTGATCTTTCGTTCCGGCCACTTCAGAGCACCCTCCCATTGTGCATCGCAGGGACGAAGTGCGCCAAGTAGCTCCGAAACCAGCGCCCGGCCCGAGTTCTTTGCCCACCACACTTTCCCATCGAGTTCCACAAGCAGTGCTCCCCAGTGCATGAGGACAAGTAAGGCAAGAGGTTGTCGGCATCTTAGAGCATGCACAAACTCCTTGCTTGCCATCGCCAGCCATCCTAGAATAGAGGCTATATCGCGAGTATGGTCATATCTGCAAAAGCAGCGTCTCAAAAGTGCGATCGCTTCAGCAATAATGCGATGCTGCTCTCCGCTGATGTTTTCTTGCATAACGTGACTCAGCCTAGTTAGCCTATCGAAGGCAGTCTCGGTCTCAGAGTCAAGGATTGAGAGTTGCGTTTCCCAGAATCCTTTTCGGGAGGTGACCAGCTGCGTGGAGAGCCAGTCTCGACTGAGGGTGTAAATCTTGCTAACACCATGGAGCAACTCGAAAACGACGATAATGTTCTCGGTCATACTGGTGCTCTCCTCTCTGTCGGTAGATAGCCGAGGCAGGGCTATGCCAATGACTGTGGTAATGACCGAATGTGCGAAAACAGCATCACAGTTAGCCGGGGTAAGATTGTCTATGGCGTTGCGGAAAGGAGCAAACGCCCGATCGTGATACTCCAATGCGGTGTCGATATATGATAGGGCGTCGGGCGGGTCCAAAGTGGCGGCGATGTGCAGCGAGGCGACTGCAAGCAGCCCACTCATGAGGAAATCATGCTGGAATGCTTTGCGCGCAATGACTATCTGCCAGGTATAATGGTCTACGGGCTCATTGCACAGGCTCTGGTATGTCTCAGTCGCATACTTGTGCATCAACTCCAGCTCCCGTGCGCTACCAAATTTGGGCGGAATGGAGCTGCCATGACGGGATAATCTCCGATTATGGCTGGAGACGTGGTTAGTTAGTCCTTGGGGGGCATTGACAGATGCAGGTGTAGAGCTGGCAGCAGGTGAGGTTGCGCTATTGCGAGCTGTTGGAACTCTGAAATAAGTGCACTTGAGTTCGCGACTGGTGCAATTGGAGCAAGGCGGGCCTTGTTCGTCGCACTAGTTACAGCTTGACGTTAGATTGTCGCATGGTAAGCGATGGAACAATACCAATATACCTTGACTCGACGCTTCTTACACTGGTCACAGCCATTGCGTGACTTTGTATGGGTTCTCCGAGGCGGCATCTTCCTCCATTTCGACGTGCTGCAGTGATGCAGACAGGAGGAGGACTGATCAACGGGTGAGTCCCACGTGGAAATTCGCGTAGACGTCAGCGGATGGGTCACGTGGTACTGTAATGTACAGACTAATGGTAGTTACAATACATTCCTACTAAACTGGACTGTTTCTTGATACATGCCTATACTCGGTCTTCGCTTCGATCTCGTCACCATTCAAGTGTCTCTAGCCATGCGAGTGGCTTCAAGATCGTTGTGCACGCTCGCGTTGCTGCGAGGCGATCCACCTGTGAGCGTAGTGGGTCGAGAACAAACAACGACACACTGCTCAGTGCTCAGCGCTCCTAAGAATTGCCTAGTTCGAGCTCCATTCGCCGACGTCTTGACCTGAGGTTAGAGTCTCGACTAAGCTTGACTGCGATTTGTTAAGACCCGCCTAATTTCCCGCATATATACAGCTGATCAGAAGTCAGCGTTACTAGGAAGAAAGAAAACTTCTGGCAGAACTTCGGGTTACCAATCCACATACTTCTATTTAACGCAGCCTGCCACCCTCGGCTACCTGGTTTATCATCCAGCTGCCTGGTTTTGGTCACCCACTTCTCATCTGTATGGGATACACATAGCCACTAAGAGCCAGGGCGACCAGGATTGATGGATATCTCTGAGAGTACCGCTCTCTTGAGGTGGACCAAAGTCCAAGCCGGAATTCTTGGCAACGGACTGTCGATCGACGGATTATTAGCCCGACGTTCCGCTGTCAGGCGAATGGTCGTTCGCAGCGTCCTCGAATGCAGGGCGCATGCACCGACGCATATCTGGGATACGCTGCTCATTGAGCCACGGCTATTGCAACCATGGAAACAAGTCAGAAGTGAGCGACCAGGAACGCTGATTAATCCGCGACACGTGTTGAAATAGCCGAAGAATGGAAGAGGAGGTCAAAAAGTCGATCGGGTCTCCCCGCCTGTGGGGGGTCAATGCGAGAACGAGAACGAGAACGAGAACGAGAGCGAGCCAATCAAGACTGTCACCGACCACGTTTTTTCTTGATATCGATCCACCAGTCATCAAACCGCCAGCTAATCGGGATCAATTGAACAATTTTAAACAACTTCTCGCCCCGTACTAAAATAGGTCTGACTCCCCTCTCAGGCCTCCAGGTTGCGACCATGAATTCCGTGTCCTTTTGTCGGAGACAAAACGTCTACCCCTCTCTCCTCTCTTCGTCGCGCTTCTACTTGTCATGATAGACAGGTTCTCTCGCATTGTCGTCTCCAGCAGATTCTTGATGCTATCAGCCTGTCGCCGCGAACCAATCAGACGGACCTCCGTTCCCTTATCGTCATCTCAGAGTCGCATAGCAGTACTTTCGGCCAGCAAATTGCAACCCGCAACTCGCCCAGCATGAGTTACTCAACGTGTGAGAAAGTGTCACTCGAGTGCCCCGTCGAGGCGACCACCTACGGCTACTACCCGAATCTAGGCGGCAACATCTTCTTCACCGTGTTCTTCGGCATCCTAGGCGTTTTCCAGCTCGGCTTCGGCATCTACTTCCGCGCCTGGACCCTGACGATTGCGATGGTCATCGGCGCCTTCATGGAGCTAGCGGGATACATCGGTCGGATACAAATGCACTACAACCCCTGGAACGAAGGCGCCTTCAAGCTGCAGATCGTCTGCCTGGTGCTGGCGCCCACGTTTGTCGCGGCGGGCATCTACCTCACGCTCAAGCACATCGTGCTCTCGCTCGGGCCGCAGTACTCGCGCCTCAAGCCGCGCCTGTTCACCTGGATCTTCATCAGCTGCGACATCGGGTCCCTGGTGCTCCAGGCTGCGGGTGGCGGTGTCGCGGCCGCGGCCGGGAAGACCGACCAGACGCTGCTGCAGATCGGTGACGATATCATCATCGCCGGTATCGCGTTCCAGGTGGCGACGATGTCGGTGTGCGGGCTGATCGCGCTGGAGTTTTTCGTTCGGGTGATCCGCCACGGGCCGGGGTTGAACGGGGATATGAGTGTCGATGGCACGAGGCATAATATTCGGCTGGTGATCTATGCGGAGATCTTTGCGTATTTCACCGTGTTGATTCGGTGTATTTATCGGTACGCTTTTCCTCCTCTTTATTCCTGTTTAGGCAGGAGTTTTCCATATATGAGGCTCTGGTCGGGCTCAGCTTATTTACATGTGAGGCGACTGCTAACACTTGAGAAAATAGTATCCCCGAGATGGCCGGCGGATGGGGCAACCCCCTGATGCAAAAGGAAGACGAATTCCTGGTCCTGGAAGGAATGTATGTGATTTTGTTGTCTTGTCTTGTCTTGTCTTGTTCTTCTGTGATGGTGGCGTACAGTTGGCTAACATGTGTATCCTAGGATGATTGCCTTGGGCCTCTGTGCCCTGACGGTCATCTATCCCGCCTTCATCCTCCCGTCTATGCGGAAGGGATTGAAGAAGGAGAAGGCATAGAGCGTGGCCGATATACACAACTTAGTACCGATACTGATATATATACCCTGAAGAGAAGTATGCAGATACAGATACCGACATAGATACCCAGAATAGGAGTTTGGCTATTTTCATCATACTACATATACTATAGAATGTTGAAGCAAGAGGCCACTGTACATAAACTGGCTTCGTACTAGTACCAGCGCCCATCCTGAAACCGCCACATTTTCGGAAATAGTGCCTTCAAGCCCCTAAGCCTCCATCTCCCTCGAAATTCCCTCTACTTCTCCCCACACCACCAAATACAATGCCACTTAACTCTCTAATCCTCCGTCCTCACCACCCTCTCGGTGCTTTTCTTCATTATCCAGCACAGCAACCCTGCCCGAGCTCAAGCCCATTGTATTTTTCCCGTTTTGAGACGCGCGCGGATGGTTCTTTGTATGGGATGACGGCTAGCTGGAGCGGCGACGTTCGAGCGGAGAGAGGGGTTCCGCGTGCTTAGCTTCTTATCTCTCTTATCGGGAAAAGGATGGGAGTTCCCTGCGGTGGTGTTCGAGGGCAGTGATTAGCGCAACAAGTCAGAAGATGCTTGCTGATCACATCATGAAGATTGAGCTCTCTCCCGGGGAAGAAGAATGCTACGTACTCAGATTTCGTCTCGTCTCCGGGCTCCGCCTTCAAACCAGGTGGTGTGATACCACAGCCCAGTCCCGGGTGATGCGGGAAAACCATACCGTATGATCCTCATCTAAGCTCACGCAACCACAAACAACCACTCTTCAAAGAACAAAATTCCTCTTACAAACTTCACTCATTACTTCCTTTCTCTCCCTACCATCTATGCAATTTAGGAAGATACTCATGTCCCCCGAACAAGCAGTCATAGTCATCGGCTCCGGCCTCGCCGGCCTCTGCGCCACCACGCAGCTCATCGCGCACCGCATTCCCGTCATCATGCTCGAGCGCGCCGCCAAACCTGGAGGTAATAGCATCAAAGCCTCCTCAGGCATCAACGGCGCGCCCACGCGCTTCCAGCCCCCACTGCAAAACGACAGCGCCGATCTCTTTCTGGCCGACACGCTCAGCTCCGCCGGCCGCCCATTGGCTAGCTCCGTCGCCGAGGAGCGCGCACGGCGCGAGAGGCTGATCAGCACACTGGTCACCACTTCTTCTGAGGCAGTCTCCTGGCTCGTTGACGAAAAAGGCGTTGACCTTAGCACAGTCGCGCAACTAGGCGGCCATAGTCGGGCGCGCACGCATCGCGGTGGCGCAGGACAGAAGCCGCCGGGATATGCGATCGTGAGCGCCCTGCTGGATTCACTGAATCAGGAGCCGCTGTTTGAGTTGCGGACAAATACACGTGTCACGAGGGTGGTGAGAGCAGAGGGAGACAGCGATGACACGGAGGGGATGCTAGGGGTGGAGTATGATGCCGGGCGGGAGGATAACCAGACCGAGACGTTGTATGGACCCTTGATCTTTGCGACGGGCGGGTTCGCTGGCGACACTCATGGGTTACTCGAGAAATATCGCCCGGATCTGGCGGGGATCCCTTCAACGAATGAAGCCCGCGAGGGCACGCAGCCGCTGCTGGAGGAAGTCGGCGCCGAAGTCGTTGATATGGACCAGGTACAGGTGCATCCGACCGGGTTCGTGGATGAGAAGGACCTCACGGCCCCGGTGAAGTTTCTGGCTGCTGAGGCACTGAGAGGGGAAGGGGGTATACTGCTTGTTGGCGAAGGGAAGAGGTTTGTTGATGAGCTGGACACACGCGAGAAAGTCACTGCGGCTGTCATGAAAGGCGCGGGTCCTCTTGAGGACACGAGTCGGCGGCAGTGGGATGTCACCCTTCTATTAGATGAGGGGGCGGCGGCAGCTTCGAATACTCATCTCGGTTTCTATCTGTGGAAGGGGTTGATGCGCAAAACCACGGTCGGCGAGCTTGCTCTTCCTTCCATTCGCGACACACTCCAGGATTACGCTGAGGTGGTGTCTGGGAAAAAGCCCGACGATTTTGGGCGGTCCTCATTCGGTAACTGGACACTAAAGGATGTGAGGTCGGATTCGGTGGTCTACGTAGGAAGAGTCACGCCTGTGGTCCATTTCACCATGGGAGGCGTGGTAATCAACGAGCACAGTCAAGTGCTGGACAAGAGCGGCTCTCCTATCAAGGGTCTCTGGGCTGCAGGTGAGATCACGGGCGGACTTCATGGACAGAATCGTCTAGGAGGTTCTTCACTCCTCGAATGCGTTGTCTTTGGCAGAATAGCCGGTGAAAATGCGGCTGCCTTCCATCAACAGCACTAGACTATCAGGGAATCTCAACACATGATCGCTTCAAGAGACTGTTCGCTCATGGTATAGTGCGGCGCACGGACGTGGCTGATTTGGTTCGTGTTCATCGCCAACATTGTGTAAGAGTGGAGATATTTCGACAAGCTTCTAAATTCCTGCCATCGCATGAGCCTTGATTCATTTGTCTTATGATTAAAGTCAGGCAAGTTTCACTATAACTTGTAAAATTGAGTCATCCGTAATTCGCGCTGTATGTGCCTACGGCATGAAGTAACAGAGTGAACAGAGTTGTCTCGGATCAAGGCACAGAGCATGTAATTAGACTTCTGGCAGTGGGCTTCCTGGGGAGTAAGAGCTATGTATATCCAATTGTCAGGCTGGGAGGCGCAAACCGATGCAGATGCATGTGGTCAGCCCGAGCAGATCAGCCACTCCCTTAATTTTAGAGTCAAATAAGGTCACATCCTCCCAAGGGGGAAGGGAGCTCGAAGAACCTTCGATCATTGTTCTATGGAGTCATGCTGCTTAGGTCGCTGACTCGTTCTGTTCTCTTGCATCATATAGTAGTGGTCCCGTTGAGTCCTTGAGAGAGGCTGTAACGAATAGAATTGAGAGTGATTCCACATTCCTGATAACGAGGCAGGGCACTGACCATGAGTGACATGAGGATGATGTTAGTGGTGATTGGATAGTGACCCTGGTGAGGATCCCTTACTGCTGGCACTTGCTCTGTTGTGTTGGAGAAACTGAGGGGATGATGTCATTTCATAAGGTCGTCTCTCGGTCGGACTCCGGGGCTGGTCCCGAACAGGAAATGTGGCAGCACCGCCACAAACACAAACAACAATCTTTGACCGCATTGGAAGAGCTTCTTCCACTTTGTGGGAAAGAAAAAAAAAAGACCCGGTTTTCATTTGGACCATGCTTGGACCCTCAAAAATGGGGAATCCTCCACCAGAGGTCCCCCGCCAATGCTCCCGTCCTATGCTCAGGTATCATACCTCTGCTCCAGGGTGACCTTGATTCTGCGACGCAGTCCTGCTAGTCCCTAGCATAATCCCTTCCGCACCTCAGAACCGCGGGGATTCACAATAACAACAATATCTGAGGGAATAAACACTGGAGGCTGGTCAGTCCAGCCTTCCCCCTCTTTGCCTATGCGAGTGGTCTAGGGGCCTCTGGGCAATATGCTGGATCGATCCCGTGTTAGTCCATGGTTAGCGACCGACTGGACTGAGATAAAGTTCGAGGTCCGGAGGAGCTGGTGGCGGAAAATTCAGCAGCGTTTCCCCACAGCACAAAAGTGCCCGGTCTTATGGCTTTTTGCAAATGATGGCTAGTGAGTTGACGGTCAGCCACATCAGCGGTGGGCTGATTGCCAAAGGGCCCAATAAGGATCGGCAACTGGCGATCCCCTGCATCCATCCTGTTGGTCTAAAGAGCCAGCACTCAGCAGAGACCGTGGACTTGAGAATCCTAGTCCAATCTTGGGTACCCAGTATGCAATGGCGCCGACACTGACGTAGTTTGTAGCACAACCCGTCTCTCATCGTGCCGTCATTCCTACTCAAATTTCTCCGATCAGAAGACTGCCCACTCCAAAGGTTTGACAAGTGAATAGTCGGTCATGTCTAAAGCCTGGAGCTGGTCAATGGTACCCTCAAGCATTGAAAACATCGGTGAGCAGGCCGGCCACATAAACAAAGGTAGACCAATGAGGCTTGAGAAAGCCGATGAGGAGGTGGAGTTCGGAACTGGGTCTAAGCTGATATCGCGCGCGCCCCAGCCACAGCAGCCGTCCCTTTTCCCGGAACCCCCATCTGGATGCATCTGCAGCAACTGTTGTTTTTGGCACTCGTGATAGCCAGTGGTTGCAGCAGGCTAATGCGGATTCCTTCAGAGTCACCCTATGAGAGCAGCATAGAGCTAGCCAGGGGATTCAAGTGAACCCACGGCAGCCCATCTCACAGGTTGTTGGCTGCGTACTGCGGAGTAGGAAACAAGAACGATAGGGCTAGCTTGGGTGGAGATCTGACTCCATGACTTCACTCGGCACCATGAAGCTGTCCTGAGCCACGTTGGCTGGGCAGCTGCTCGAGAGAAATTTCGTGCACCAGCCAGTGACGACTGTGGACAGTACAGTAATCCAGTCCTAGACTTCTGGGTAGGAGAAATTAGGTTGAACGAACAAAGAGTGGAAATTACGGGGATCGCCGCAGCGGGAAAAGAAAAAAATAATGATGAAAAAAATCGAAGGAAAAGGAAAGTACTTCAGGATGAGTGAATGATTTGCGCGCTCTTTCCCATCTTTTCACAACTTAAATCAGCTCGTCCCCCCTCTCAATCCCCTCCCTTTTCTTCCTTCCCACACCCAACCATCGTTCCGATCCCATAACTCGTTCTTCGTGCCTTCACGTCGATCACTTTCTCGATACCCCTCTTGTCGCATCCCAGCCTCCCGTTGCTTCTTCAATCTATCATTGTTTGCGCGTGCAAATTTTCCATCTCACCCAAAATGAAGACTTTCTCGCTCTCCATGGTGCTGTTGGCTGCTGCCAACCTGGCCAATGCTGCTGTCTCCGTTAGCGACTGCGCAGTATGTTTATCCCATGTTGACGACAATCGATGCTGGCGAATGGAAACTGACTTTCGCTGTGTTTGTAGCAAATGTGTGTCAACAACATGAACAACAAGGCTTCTGAGCTGGGTTGTTCCAGCGGCGATCTCAGCTGCTTGTGTAACAACGCCGACTACAGCTATGGTATCCGGGACTGCACCGCTGAGGCCTGCCCTTCTGACAACGCTGCCGCTGTGCTGGCTGCCGCTCTTGCTTCTTGCCCTAGCTCGACTAGTATGTGATACAACTTACCACCACCACCACCGAGTGGCTTCTCTGATTTGTCGAATGCTAACCCTGCATCCTACAGGCGGCTCCACCTCCGGCTCGTCTGCCACCGGAACTTCCTCTGGTACCGCTTCTGGTACCGCTTCCGGTACCACCACCGGCGTTGCTGGCGCTTCCACCAAATCTGCTTCAACCACTAGTGGCAGCGGTACCTCTTCTGGCACGGGCGCGGTCTCTACAACCACTGTGACTACCGGCACCCACTCTGGTACCACCAGCGGTGCTTCTACTACCTCTGCTGGAACTGTGAGTGCCCGTCTGTTCTCTACCTCAACACTTTATGCTGACCAGACCAAGACCAAGACTACTATCACGAGCGCCTTCACCAGCACTACCTTGAGCACGGCTACTCTCAGCAGCACTGGCTCTTCTTCTACCGGCAGCGGATCCTCCTCTTCCACCGGCAGCTCCAGCAGCGGCTCCTCTGGTAGCTCGTCCACTGGCACTGGTACCGCTCCCGCCAGCTCTTCAACCTCCACTGGTGCTGCCTCCCACCTGAACGTTGCTGGCAGCGGCGCTATCGGTGCTTTCGGGCTTGCTGCTATGCTTCTCATCTAGACGAAGAATCATGAAGGTTCCTCGCTTAATTCCGGCTGATGTTCGCGTTCAGCATCACAGCGTGACCTGAATAGGGTGAATTTCACTATTACGGCTTATGACTTGCAATGTTTCTAATGCGGCCTTGTATATTCTAATATGACGGGTCATACGATAATGACTAGTAGATAATCTGGCACCTCCTGTTTTGCAGTGACAGGGGGAGAGCAAGAGGAACGAACGGAGGGTATGCGGGACTTGTCATTAGCTTCTTCAATCAATACATTCATTCAAACTTCTGGATTCTTTAACATAACAGCGGCATGCAAGCAGTTCAACTACAACATAAAGCTCTTTGACATACACATTGCCTGTGCCCATTCACTTTGGCGATAGGAAAGATTCTGGAATTGAATCAAGTTCGAGAAGCATTTTCTGTGGTTTCAGGGAATGTCCGCAGGATGATTTGCAGATCCGGTATGCAACCGGCTCAAGGGACAGGGCCCCACACAAGCACCCGAGCTAATAGCAAACAAAGCTATTGATGTCAGCAACATTGGCCTTCACAACAACGCCAATATCGAGCATGACCTGTCGCATACATATTTGGCATCAGATTCTTGCAGCTCCTACTCCGTACAACATTGAGTTTGCACAAGCAACTCTCATCAGTAAGTAGGGTGTTAACCTAATCCGAAAGTCGCTTGTTGAGTGTGGCTGTTGTCCTGTCCTGTCTTTGTTGTCAAAACCTAGAATACCCCACCCAGGTCTTGCCCCCTGAAGCAGAAGCTCATGCCTCGTGGATTGATTCTCGAAAAGAAACCCCGGTGGGTGGAATCCGTTGGGAAGCGATTATTTGCCTGTCACGGCGGGATCACGTCATTCAGGGACTTTGACGAAGATCAGCGCCCGTTCTAGGCCCCCCGTCATCTTTGCATGCTGTCTTCAGAACCGCATACCTCATACCCGCCGTCTATTGTCCACTGATGCATATTGCCTCTTGCCTCATAGTTACCGGGGGTCGTGACGGAGTCAGATAGCGAACTAGCACTTACACGGTAGCGAAGTATGCTAATCCAACGTCCTCACACAATGTACTCTGGGCATGAGCTCCCCCAATAAACTGTTCTTCTACCTCGCTCACCTCTATTGTGGCAATTCTCCCACACATTCATGACGCTAGGATGAGGTCAATTGCGTATGTTCAGCATCAGCGAAGGACTCCCATAATTCAGTCCTTCGGACCATCAAGTACAATGGGATGTGCTATTAAATGAGCCCAAAGTTGAACCCTTGGAAACTTGGATTTGAGTATCAAACTCAGCACTTCAAGCAAGGCAATCAATCAGTCACCGCAACGTAGTTGACGTCAAGTCATCGACTCTGCCTCTATCTATTTCCATCTCTACAGTATTCTCTTTCCATATTAGTCCCACATCTACTTTGTCCCTATTCGTCACGCAAGCCATGGCAGCGCTATCCACCTCATCCAACTTGAAGTATGTCTTTGATACCTTGAAATCCAATCCGGTGGTCACAGGGCTGTGCGCGACCGCTATCATTGGCCTTGTCTGGTACCTCGATTGAAGACCCTTCCTTCTATTTGGTCATATGAGAGTGAAGACCTGGCACTAACAGGGTGTGTGTCTGCGGGGTGTGTAGGACAGTCAACGACTTCCGAGAATGGAAAGCTTTTGGTACAGGCGGAACGCCGCCGACCTGGGCGTGAGTTCCCTCCCTGACACCTTACCCACTTCCCTCCAGGGTACAAGAATATCATCAAAGCAAGATTGTACAGGACTAACCATGGTCACCGCAGTGGTTACCTTCGCATGTCCAAACTCCGCGCCAAACACGCCGCCTCCAAGAACAACCTCCAGGACCCTTCCCCTCTTCAACAGACGGGGCCCTCCTACTTGCCCACCGGCACTCTCCCGCTCCGCTCCGGTCCGCGCCCGCGCATGATGCCGCGCATTCTCCCGCAGCGCCAGTACCCGGAGCCCATCGACCCCTCGGTGCAGGCCCGGCTGCGCTCGTTGGTGCGCGATCTGGCCAGCGCCCACCCCGAGCTGTTCGACCTGCTACCCTCGCACACCGAGGGCCGCACGACTGATGGGCTGTACGCGCGCCGGAATCTGCCGACCCTCAACCCGCTGGCCGGCGATGCTATTCTGAGCTACGAGATCGCGCACATGCACCCGGCGGAGAACAGTCTGCATGTGTGGTTGAGTGATGTCGATGCGCGGGAAGTCATCGAGAAGGGCTGGGGCCAGCGGTTTCCTGTGCCGGCTGTGCCACAAGGCTGGGTGATGGTCTATGCGCCGCGTGATGAGGGAGAGATGGATATCGTGGAGGGAATTGTCAGGGCAGCGGCGCGGTGGGTTACTGGTGTTATGGTTTGAAGAGGTTCCATCTTGGATTGGACTGTCCCGGCAGGATCTGATTGTGGACATGGTCATGATGATGACAATGATGATGTTTCCTTGAGAAGCGAGTTGTCTTGTTTTTTTAGCGGGCGTTTTCTGTACCATATTATGGGATGACTTGTACATTAGCCTTCTCCTTCTGTGATGATCATATCAGTCATGATTGAATGAACGACTTTTGACTTCTGTAGACTTTCGCGAGAAGCCTGATGTGGAACTGCTTGAGGACTTTCCTAGTCTGGCTTCATTTTTCGGTAAATGGCTCCGAATCGGATATAGAAAAAGTGTTATCAATGAGTGGCCATGGAGCAGTGAGATAATAACCATTACCCTCTTAGACTTCCCTGACTCACTCGCTGTATATGTGAATAATAAGGTTGGGTTTGGCGCGTAAGCTTCATACACCAACTGGTTGAGACTCCCGCCGACTCACCTCCTGCACATATGAAACCCCCTTCTCACCATCGGAGTCTTTACTATCAAATATTGACGAGCCGAAATATCCAATATATGCGTTGAGATGGAGTCGAAGGACAGGGGCTCAGCGCTAAACCGGGCAACGTTATCAAGCCCGGTCTGCATGTTCCTTTTGCCATCCCCAATCAACCCCATCTCTGTCGACATCTTTTAGGACCGAGACTCCACTCAACCCCACGTGACATGGACATTGTACATAAGAATGAAGCCTTCGAAAGGATTGACGGCAAAATGAAGTTTGCCTACGTCCAGGTCTTTGTGTTGCACGATTGCATATTTGGATGAATCGATGAGATCTACCACAAGACGCTGAAGGACCTTCAGAAAGTTCAGCAAAGTCCAAACCAACGACAAGAGGCCCATCAGTGAATTTCGTTTGGTCCGCTGTCTTTGTGAAAGACCAAGTATCCTTTTTTATGTCGGTGGAACTTTTGAAAAGCAAATCGCTTGCGAAGTTGAAACATGCGAGATCCTTGGCAAGAATCCCCATCCGAATATTGCGATCAATTATGGCTACAAGGAGAACCAGGTCGAGTACCTCGGTAGTGCTTCAAGCGATACCAATCCACGCTACTTGAAACACTTCATCTTGAACGGCTGGGCAAGGTAGCTTTCCATTCGCGTACGCGCGAACTGGTGAGAGGATATGATCAGTGGTCTAGAAGGTGGGATTTTTGGATGCCATCAAGCATCTCCACGCGCATGGGCTTGTTCATGATGATATCAGCCCGGCTAACATTGCGATCAATGCGGACGGCACGCTTGTTCTTATTGATTTCGATGGCTGTCGCTATATCGGAGAGTCCTTGCGCGACACTCAAACGAAAAGAACTCATCATTGGCACGACCTTTCTGTTGGAATCTCGCTTGAGAAACCCGGTGTTGACGCTTTCAGACGTTACGAACATGGCTGGCTGGATCGTCGGACGAGGACTTCTGTTTGAATGACGCTTGCTTGTTGGTAAAGCAAGGAAGAGCGACGCACATGAGCTCTTTCTCTGATAAGTTATGGACAATCGCCTACAGACCTTTCTGAAAGTCATTGTGAGCGCGACGAGGTGGCAATGCGACGGAGCGGGTCGAGATTATAGCAGAGGGGAGTGGGTCTCATGCCACAGAGCTTGTAGATTGGCGCTTTGGGGGTTGCGTACGTCGCGAGGGATTTCGCTCTTGTTGTGTTCGTCTGATGAAGCTCAACCCTCGGGGTCTTTGTTCTTGTGCAGTTGCTGGTGGGGATCGCTGGGGAAGAGGTTAGTTTTTCGGGTGAGGATGAGAGACATTGGATGTAACAGGTTTTGAGTCGAAAAGTTGAGCAGATGGAGTTGGCTTGGGAATTACGTCTGGTCACTACTCGTTGAACTCAAGCTTGTCGTTCTATTGTAGTATACGAAGTAGAGTTGTTGTGTCGGAACTGTTGTCAATAGGTGTGTTCGCAGCAAAGGAACCATCCGGGTAGATTGGTTACTTGATCATTCCATCTCCAGCAACATACCACTATGAATACTAACTTGTCAATGCACCAAGATCTCCAACCCACGCAAGACAAACTCCGTATCCAATGACTGCTAAGAATACTCCTTATCATTACTAGCGAGCTTCGTATCGGCCCACTTCGGCCGCACTAATATTAGACCAACCCCAGACAGACATTGATAGGCTGCTCCCGGGCGCGCTACTGCCTTGAAATGGTAGGTTTCTGCCTGATCCTTCAGGTGGTGGCAGCCTTCAGCCTGCCCCGAATCTTAGCCACCTTTTCCCTCCCCGGCTTATAATTCTTTGTTTCTCCTCATCCCCTCGCCATCCATCTCGGTCATCCAACTATTCGTCTTTCGCTATCGACGCGTGCCACATTATACTCTTCACCCACTTTCCTTCGACTAAGTCTTGACATCTATTGTTTCACAAACTATCATGGCTATCTATGCCCTCCTTCGTCGAGGAGTGGACGCTGCGGCGGACTTCCAGTCCAAGCAGCCCTCCCAGAGCCAGCCAACCATCCATCTGGTAGGATGGTTGTCGGCTTTCTTCATCTTCACTGTTCTAGCATTTGTTGGCATTCTCCTCTCGGTAAGAAAAGGGCTGGGATTCAAATTTACGGTGGGCCATACTAATCTCCTTTCTTTAGGTCGACTATACGTACGGAATGCTGGTTCCCACCCTCGCCGTCGTCGAAGACACCAACCCCGACGTTTACGTCCGTATCGACACGGACTTCGACCCGAACAAGCCTGTTGATGCGAATGAGCCCGAAATCGAAGCCGCCCGCACTCAACCCATCACCAACAAGTTGTGTACGACTATTCGCCACCTCCGCGCCCGGGCCGGTCCCTGGTCCCGTTTCCGCGGGTTGGGCATGCTCTTGACGTATGGGTTCGCTCTAAACACTTTCTATTTCCTGGTGCCCTTCTCTGCGACCGCGTTCATCCCCCAGTTCATCGTGGGAGTGATCGGCGCCGCCCTCCTGGCCAACCTTAGACTTGCGTGGGTTCACATCGTCATCTCAGAGCCATCTCCTAAGCGCTTCTACCAGCGCATCGGCGGCTTCAAGGTTTGGCAGCGGATTGCTCCTGTTGCGGCACTCGAGCAGGCCGTTATCAGCGGCGCCATGTACATCCCCCTTGTCGTTGTCAAGGCCATTTATGGTCTTGATGGACTGATGGCACCCGCTGATGGCGATGCTTTTCCCACCAAGACGATCCTGGCTATTTGTGGTATCCTCGCGGTGGCTGGCTCGCTGTCTCTTGCGGCTTCCATCCCTGCGCGGGCTATTTTCCTCCGCGTGGCCGCTTCTATGCTGCCTGAGGAGGATGAGGCCATTGTACCTTTCGACCGCTCTTACGGCGGCAAGGTGCAGCCTGCCATCTTGGGCGGTATCGGTAGGCTGAGCATCTCCGATGCTTGGAAGACTCTCGACCGTCCTGCCCTTACCCGCTTTGTGAAGGCGATCTTCAAGGCTCTAGCTATTGAGGTTGGCGTGACTATGTTCTTCTCGCTGCTGCTCACCGGCCAGATTCTTGCTGGCGCTGTGACCTATGGATTTCCTGGAAATAGCGCTTGAGCGGATCGACTTAATGCTCTACCTACAGCTCTAACGATACCTCTCCTTTCGTATTTGAGCTACCAATCCTATGTATGCGAATAAAACTCTGTTCCGGCACCAATCAGCCCTACATTCTCTTGTACTTACAGCCAAGGTCTGCATACCCTGCCATATTGATTCCAAGCATGCATGGAGCCGAGAATGATTTATGTCATAATTTTCGTAGTTGTAGGTTGGAACGAATCGCCTGCACAAGAGCCATCTCGCGGCATCTCATATGAGGACCTTGACCTGGATTGACGGCTGCCTTTTGCCGGCCACTGCAAGAAGAGTCAACCGTTGCTCTATACGTAGGCACTTGATATTGCCACCGATGGTGATCGGGCCACTGATGGGAGGCTATCGGGAGAGAATCATAGAATGTTATCGTACGCGGCCCCGCCACCCCACTCTCCCTTTGCAGCACACCGCCTTGGACCCATCAATTATTTCTCTTTTGACCAGTCCGATTCCCTAACTCGCTTTTCCACCAGGGTATACGGAGTCATTTCTCCTCTTCATATTTTTCCTCTTCTCAGGGACATTCACCTTTCTCTAGCATACGAGGCTGCTCTCCTGGCGCCACTGACATTTCGCGATCCTCTCTCGCCGCTACATCGACCCTTAACTCACGGTTCCTATCCTGCCTTGGGCCCCTCCTTGGTTTCCCCGCCTCCCCCTCTTTTCGCTTTACGTCAACGCCATGGCCACAACACCAGCCGGTCGCATGCTGTCACGTCAGCTGTCGCAGATGCAATCCGATAAGGACATCCCCGGAATCAGCTGCGGATTGGTCGATAACAATGTTTTCGAGTGGGAGGTGATGCTCATGATCTCGGATGATGTCAAGCTGTACGGCGGTGAGTGTCTTCGCCGCGTGTAGTTGTCAACCCTCCAAGGACTTTCACCATGGCTAACACTGGGATCAACCAGGTGGCTTCTTTCGGGCTCGGCTCTCATTCCCCATGGACTACCCTCACATGCCGCCAAAGATGAAGTTCGAGACTCCCTTGTTCCACCCGAACAGTACGTCCCCTTCCCCATGAACCGCCAGCCCGGGGAGAAAGGCGACTAACACGCAGAAAACCTGGTTACAGTCTACCCCAACGGCGACGTCTGCATCTCTATCCTCCACCCACCGGAGGAGGATAAGTACGGCTACGAATCCGCCGCCGAGCGCTGGTCCCCCGTGCAAACCCCCGAGACCATTCTTCTGTCGGTCATCTCCATGCTGTCCAGCCCTAACGATGAGAGTCCCGCCAATGTTGAGGCGGCACGGTTATGGCGCGAGAACCCTCAGGAGTTCAAGAAGCGGGTGCGCAAGTGCGTCCGCGACAGTCTCGGTGAGGAGTAAATGAACAGCAGAGGTTGTGGTTTGGTCGGTTCGTTCAATCTGTAGGTAGGGGGTTTATCTTTCTCGCATGTCATGCATTGCGCGGGAGCGTCATGGCGCAGTAAATGGTTTTTCTATTTGTGGATCGCGTGGTAACTGTCTTTTCTCTGTGATTACATCTTGGCATTATCGTTGCGATTCTGTTCTGTTCGCGTTTGGATTTGACAGCTGGAAATGGGGAAGCTGTTCTCGTTGGCATTTATGGTTCTGATTTATGGTTATTATGTGATGGGTAGCGGAATAGAGTTTTGGTGAGGTTGTATTGCTCGTGGTTGCGTAGATGTAGGGTGAATATATGTAGTAGGTTTGTGTGGTTGATATGACACCGTCGGATTGTTTTTAGAATGCTGTAGGTGAGTCTGCTGTGTTGCGAATAAGGTCTAGATGGGATCTTTTCTACACCGATATCACTATTCAATCCGGGTCCATTATTGTTCTTTTGTCTTGTGTGCAGCGGATGAGCTTGAGTATGTTATGAAGGTCGGTGCTGGCCACTTCCACCTCGACATCAAATCAGTGAATCCCTGATTCAACGGTTTTTATCAGACGCAACTCCTGTATGAGTTAACATCACCAAGCATCATTGGTCTAGTGGTAGAATTCATCGTTGCCATCGATGAGGCCCGTGTTCGATTCACGGATGATGCACTCAGCGTTTCCTTTTTGTTGGATTGCATCAGATCAGCCACCTGCTTCCTTCCTAGGGTCATCCTTCATCAAGCCATTGTTATCTCTCTCAGAGGTCGATTCCCCGCACATGTTTACTTTCTGCCGTTTCTTATCAAGTGTCAATTGATGCAGCTGCCGGGATCCGTTCCGAACAGTGTGGTTCTTCACCTCTAAACTCATGCAATGTTCCTCACCTTCGAGTATAACGACCTGTCAAAGATCAGTAAATCATCATGGCTACTACACCTCCCTCAACCTCCACAGCCCCCTCACTTCCCTCCGCAGCACCGATCATCGTATCACTAAACATCACCCTGCAACCTCCGCTCTCACGCTGCGGCCGCGGCCCAGGCCTCCTCCTCATCCGTCCTACCAACCTGACCACTTGCCAAGCAAACAATACCTCCCTGGACCCATCCCCAGTGCAGAAATGGGCAGAGGAGAGCTTTGTCGTGGTAGAACTCACGCTTGACTCCACGATCAGCGGTGACGGGTCCTCTGTGTCGGAGGCCATATCCGCCGCTTTAGACTCACTCCGCACATCCCCGCAATGCGATGACCCCGAGAAGATTGGGCTCCTAGGTAACTAGTTCCTGTCTCTCAACAAAACCAATTACCCCGATCAAATACAAGCCAAACTACTCGAAGAACGGTTGATTAAAGCTAATAGACAAATCAAAGTATACGGCTCTCCAACCGACTACCACCCTGCATTTCCTCAGCTCCTCCGTCAAACCATCACAGCACTAGCCACCACAGTGGCAGTCCAGAAGATCGTGGCAATAGTCTACTTCAGCAGCGCATGGGAGGAGGATCATCCTCGGGAGATCCCAGCTCTCCTCCACCTGCCAACGCCGCCCAGCAAAGACACGATCCTCCCGCTTGGCCCCCCTGGCATCAACGTTGACACCACCTCCAACCGCAGAAGTTACTACTACCCTGAAGCCCAGTCCCCGGGATTTATTATCCCCGGCCACGCGAACTTCAAAATCGGTGCTGCGGGCGTGGCGCACACGCGCTCGCTGACCTTCCTCAAGAGGACTCTGGGCGGGCCGTACTTTGATCTCGAGAAGATCTGGGAGGAGCATACTTATTACGAGTTTGGGGACCGGTCGGTCGAGAAGACGATGGCGACGATGGTGCAGGAGCCGTATGTGAATCATGTTCCAACTGTGGGTTTTCCTATTATTTGCCCGTCCTTGGAGATCTGAGCTGGGGGTTGTGTTTATGAAGGGAGTACCGGTCGAACTATCAACTGACTGACTGACTGACGACAAACACAGATGACAGGCGGAACCGGCCGCGTACAACTGAGCCGCTTCTACCTCGAGCATTTCATCTTCACCAACCCAGAGGACACCGAGCTGGAACTAGTCAGCCGTACCGTCGGGATCGACCGCGTGGTCGACGAGTTTATCTTCTGCTTGACGCATAACGCGGTTGTAGATTGGTTGCAAGTCCCTCCCCCCAACCTCAACTGACCTTTCCTACCCCTCCCTCCTCCTCTCAAATACAAAAAGCACCTCCATCATAACCACAGACACCAGCCCGCATCATACTAACGAATCCCATTCCACGACAGAATCCCCGGCATCCCACCCACCCACAAACCCCTTCGCATCCCCTTCACCTCCGTCGTCAACATCCGCGGCGACAGACTCTACCACGAACACATCGCCTGGGATCAAGCGACTGTGCTCCGCCAGTTGGGTCTCCTACCGGAGTACCTCCCCTATCCCTATGCGCTGCCGTCCGGACAGGTGGCGGCGCCTGGGAAACGGTTTGAGTACCGGGTACCGGCGGCCGGGGCGGAGACGGCGCGGAAGTTGCAGGGGGATCATTCGGTGCCGTCGAATGAGATGTTTGCTTTCGAGGTGAGGGAGGTGGACCTTTAGACTTACTATACCTGTACGGTGTACCGGTAGAGTAATGAATAGAGAGGAAAAGGATATATCATGTTGATATGTCAACCTGTACCGTACTCCCGTGTAGGGAGTAAGTATGCAGAGTTATTTGCATGATGCATGTGATGATTTGAATTAAATTGACTAAGCCATGGTAGTTACGATGCCCAATCCCAGCCGGGAATAAGACAAAATAGCAAAATACCCTTAATCTATATTTCCACGTGTCCATCAACTCAAATACGCACCATCACGAAACCACTTAACTACTCCATCGAACCGACCTCCCATCAAACTTACCCCCCTCAGAGTAGCACTAGTCCAAGAACCCCCCGCTCCCATCCAGTGTCCACCAACCTGGAACCTAACCCCGAACACAAAAAAGCAAAGGACACCCTCCCTCCCGTTGCGGCCCGTCACGAACAACATTCCTGGCGCCCCCTCCAGCATATTTCAGCATATTCAGAACATCATAGGATTCATCTTCCACCGTTAAGTTCCGAGTTCGGTAAATCTTCATCCCTTGTTTGGAACCCGCGGGCTGGGGTCAGTATACCTCCCCACTTCCGAATCCGGAATCCACTCCGTTCTCGGAAGAGGTACTAAACAGTACTATCGTTCGTGGTCTATTCATTTTTATAGTACGTGTCTAGTATTGAATATGTTACTGAATCTGTGGAGGCCTGATAGTACTGCCTTACTGAAGAGAATCTTTTCTTTTCTTTTTTTTTTTTTTTTTTTTTTTTTTTTTTTGCTGGGATTACTGGGAGAAGAATAGATAATACATACATACCCATCGTCCGGCAAGACAAGTACATACCACATCAACATAGCAATGGAAAGTTTCCTCCCCACTCTACTTCACGGAAAATGCACGGCACGAGAATCGGTCTTTTAATCTGCGGCTGCACGCTCATGTTTGCACGAGGAGCACGAGCCGCGGCTGTATTACCTACGACAGCAGGCCAGACGGCCCTCCCGATCGTAGATCTTGGTTACGAGCTCCATCAAGCTATCTCGTTGGATGTACGTTATGCTATGCTACCGTACCCGTTTCTGCCTCACGGAGTGATGCTATCCTATTGCGATGTTCTAGCTACTGAGCCCGAAGCTAGGAACAAACTCAAACCTACAACTTCTCCAACATCCGCTACGCAGCGCCGCCAACGGGACCGCTCCGATTCCGACCCCCTGTGCCCGTCGCCGCAGGACCAGGGAATAGTTCGAAAGAGGTGGAAAATGGCGCCCAGGGACGAGTTTGTCCGCAGGCGGCGTTGCGGTGGGAGGAAGAGATTATGCCGGGCTTTGTGGCGGGGGTGCTGGCTTCTGAGTCTGGAGCTGCGGGACCGGCATCGTCAGCAACGGCGACCTCAGCGGCATCACCATCGGGGGTAACATCAGACCAAGAGGATGGAGATGGCGGAGTATCGTCAAGCTCAACAGCGCACCAATATGCCCCCGTTGTCGGATCAGCAAGTGGCGACGCGAGGACGACGGAAGACTGCCTGTTCTTGGATGTGATCGTGCCGAAGGAGGTTTTTGAGCGGAATACTATCCAACGAAAAGGAAACAAGGCTCATGATGGTCTGGCGCCGGTTCTTGTGTGGATTGACGGCGGTGGGTATATCGCTGGTGATAAGACAGAGCAGAGCCCCTTGGGTCTGATACAGCGCAGTCTGGTCGATGGGGAGGATGGGATTGTGTATGTTGCGATCAACTATCGGGTACGTCATCCTTTCCTGTGAGCTGAGTAACGGACCAGAGTGGTGTTGACTCCCTGCAGCTGGGTGCGTTCGGCTGGTTATCGGATGGAAATGGCATTGCTAACGCTGGTCTCTACGACCAGCGTCTCGCTTTGGAGTGGGTGAAGGAGCACATCGGGCTCTTTGGTGGGGATCCAGACCGTATCACCGTCATGGGCCAGTCGGCTGGCGCTGGGTCGATCGTTCATCAGTTGGCCACATATGGAGATGATACAAACCCCCAAGCTCGCCCGTTTCGTCAGGCTATTGTCCAAAGTCCCATCTGGTATCCCTTGTCGGCGAAGCAGCAAGCCTCGACGCGAGACGCATTCCTCGAATTGCTGAATGTTTCGTCCATCGAAGAAGCGCAATCTCTCCCTTCGGAGCAGTTGATCGCGACCAATGCATACCAAATTGCCAACACCCCCATATACGGAACCTTCACCTACGGACCGGTGGTAGATGGGTCGCTCGTCAGAGACTGGCCGAGTAAGATATTGCTCGACCCAAACTTTGGCTGGCAGGACCTTCGCCTCATGACAGGTCATGCATCCAATGAGGGGTTGATTTTCACTCCGCCGGCCGGAGTTAACAGCTCGGCCTATGCGACCATTCTGAGCGACTTCCTCCCGGATTTGGCCCCCGAATCGTTGGAGGATATCGCCCAAACGCTCTACCCGACAAGCTCCAACGCTTCAGCCGCCAATCTGGGCTACTCCGATGCACTGGGAAGAATGGCCCTGACAATCAGCGACGCTTTCTTCACTTGCAAGAATCAGTACCTGAGCATTGCCTTGGACACATATGCGTACATTTTCGATGTGCCGCCCGGACTGCACTCCTATGACTTATACTTCACTTTTTACGATCCTGCACGTCCCGACCCAAGTGTTGTGGATGTCGACCTTGCTCTGGCCATACAGGATTATATCATTTCGTTTGTGCGAGAGGGTCGACCATCTTCTCTCGCTGCTGCTGCAGCAACAAGCTGGATCCCTTACCGAGCGCAAAACCAAGTTCTGAACATCCAAGCGGGAAATATATCAAGCGTGCCAGATCCAGTGGGCAGGGACCGATGTCAGGTGTGGTGGAAGTTGACCGGCTGATCGCATGCAAGGGGAAAACTGAAACCAAACCATTCGCCGAGGACGGAACTTCTCGTATCGAACACCACCAACACTTGGCATCCGGTGCGCCTTGGGACAGGGGCCATTGATTCAAAAGGAACTCTGGTAGTCCTTAGGCTTTGGGGGCTAACGAATGGTCGAAGTCTGAAGTGAAAAAGACTGTGATGGAACTAAAGACTCCTTTGTTTGAGGTTCACGGCTTGGGGGCTATAGTTCAATCCTGTATAAATGATCTGCGAGCATGGAAGTTTCTGGGAAAGCCGCCATCGCAGAACCCTTGCATGCGATTGACATGATGACAATTCAGCCGCATGATTCATTTTAGAGAACTATTCCTGAGTAGCATGAGATAGTGTCTATGCCAGCCCAATTATTTGTTGGCTACAGGGCCCTTCGCCAATGAGAGGGAGAGCAATGCGATGACCCACGTGGGATCGTGTGCCATGCTTGACTGGACAAATCGAGGCGGGAATTGAAGCTAGCGGGAATTATCGCCACCGACAGCCGATGCTATGAAAATCTCTGTCAGAGCCATTATGGTTCGCATTCGGCTGAAAAGCTCACACCACCCGCATGGTGGAGCTTGCTGGCTAGTTATATTCTCCCCAATTACTGTTCAGCGCGAGTTTCTGCCGACGGGCCGGATCCGTTCTCTCAGTCAGGGGGGATGAATTTAAAGATGGGACTCCCTGCAATCATAACATGGCTTACTATCACAACCTTAAGCACGCGACATGTCTCAAGGATGGATGCAAGTGCATGCTCTAGCGGCGCTCATTCTTCAGATCGTGTAGTTCAACCTCCAAGCCAGCAATATCAGCTCTGATCGACTCTTTGTCTCTCCTACTCTGCCAGTCTGGGCAGTTTGGGTGAAGTGGGACATTTGCCGGAATGACTCAGCACTAATAATAACTTAACCAAACCAATGAAGTGAGCTTAGTTAGACTGTTTCAAGGGTCAAACAGTCGATAACCTTGAAAATAAAGGAGAAAAACCAACCTCCGATCCTCGTCCAGACGTGAACCACGCTAGCTCAGGCACATATTACTGTGTACTACTGCCCCAATCGGAGTTCCCTTAGCTTTTGAGTGATTTGCAACACTAGGATGGATACGTGCATTTGTCCGTTGCGCTGCGATTGATTCAGCTGACAGTGGGGATGAAGCCCGATGCGCTGGCCGGTCCGCAAGCTGTATGCATCAGGTCCAATCGTCCGAGCCACCAATCACTTCAGACTTGCCTATGGCCATGAGAGATACTTTGTCCATAACCTTAAATCATGAGAATAACTTACGACCATTTTCTAGGCCCTGCGTCGTGCAGGGATCGTGAATTGACACAGCTCAAGTTGATTGCCAAAGAGGCATTCCAAAGAACTGATCCCGAGAACTGATGTGCCAATCGCAGGGTCCGATTGCACCTTCGAAGCGCACGCGAATGGGTTGAGTGGTGTTCAATTTCCCGAAGTGTAGAATTCCGGGAGGCGCTTACCCACGGTGACCGACCGAAGTGACAGACGAAAGCTTATTGGTAGGGTGTCTCAGTGGTGGAGCTGGACGGTGTGCCCATCTCGGAAGACATGCAAAAAGGTAGGGTTCTGGCGATGTGACCAAAATTAGGCAGCCGTGTGTCTGAGACTTTTTTTCTGGAAGTGATGTCTGACCTGACCCGGAGAACCGAACGGTTCGAGACAACGGGCAAGAAGCAATCCACAGCTAAAATGATCCCCCAGCGATAACCTCACCGCCAAGCTTCCAATGACCCATGAATGGAGGAGGGAAAAGTGAGAGCCCGAATGGCCCGTGGGGGCGACCAGGGGTAGCAGGAATGGTCATTGGCAGAGCTGGTAGAGCTTAGCAGAAAGAAGGAATAAATAGCACAGCTCATCGGGGCCCGCGGACGAGAGAAAAGTGGGGAGAGAGAAGCACTAAACACGGCTAAACTCAAGGGGAAACCAAAGGGTCTATACTTAATAATAGCAGTCACCGATGGCTGTGCTGGCTGGCTGGCTGGCTGGCTGGCTGGTGGTCTCTTTCTTTCTGTGTGACTTTGCCGTACTGGTCCAAGTCCTGACAGTCCTGACAGTCCAAACAATTTCACAATATGAGTGTATAGAGGATCCTCCTCCATGACCGGGTGCCGAATACCCTCCGCGAACCGCCCATCGGGGTTGTTTCGAATCCACGGGTTTGCCATCGGACTGGATTGGGGTGACACAACGCAGCAGGGACCAGTTGCACAAGTACTAGTAATGTGCGGTAGAAGAGGAAATGAAGGCGGACCTGGCCCCCAAGATAGAGGAAGAGAAGGTCAAGTCGTGAAACCAACGAGTTGAGGCGAGGATTGATTATTGGGGCGGATGCAGTGAATGAGGGGGGAGGAGGATGGCGGAGTTCAAAGCTGCAGGTGTGAATGAGAATTCATCATTAGTTAGCCTAATACTAGTAGTAGTTAATATACAGCATACACAGTAACTTCTCTTCATACCTACTCCGTACTTTTTTATTAGTCCTTTTAGTCCACCTCGGAGTTCTTCTAACTCCACTAATTCCCTTGGCCTTGCATTGACCCAGAGAAACGGTAATTTACTACCTTTCGCCCCTCATTTTCCTGCTTTCCCCGCTGGGCCAAATCTTAGCCGTTGTTGGGTCGCTTCTGCTTGCTTTTACTGTAGCTTAGTTATATTATGCCTCTTGCCGGCTGACTGCACCCTGCATGATTTTCCAGCCTTGGCTCTGTCGTTTCTTCCGGTCGTGCATCCTATAAACATTCTCTCTTTCCCTCTTCGTTCCCTTCTAGGTCCAAGTTGACTACATCCAATCCTAGACGTTCATTTCCTTGCATCACTTCTCAACACCACATCATCACCACCCCATTTCACCATCCCCACTACATCACCACCTCATCATCCTACTACACCACCCTTTCAAACCAGGCTACCTCTTTACAATCAGCCATGTTGTTTCGCTTCCTGTCCGTGACAGGTGCTCTCTGTCTCAGCAGCTGTGCTGCTGCTGCCAGCGTGCCTTACTCCTACATCAGCTCACCCCGCTCAGCCAGCGCCCATCAAATCAATCTGCCTGCTGTGCCGTGTGCCTTTTCCGATTCCAGTTGCAATGAAGCCCTTGATTCCATTGCACACCTCGTATGTCAAACCATCTCATCGGAACCACCAGAATTAAGAAACTGACAGTGACTAGACTATCGACTTTTCCACGCAAAATGGTGTCTTGCTGGCCAACAAACAGCCCATCTTCCCCGCTTCCGTGCCAATGCAATTCTCCGTGGACCGCAAATGGGACGCCCAGAAGCAATCTGTCTCCGTCGCGTATGCATTGGATGTGCGACCGCTGCCTGCCCACCCTGGCGCCCCCGTGGGCGATGTTTACCACCTAAAGCTCCGACTTTTCGATCTGCATGGTCGCCCCGTCACCCACCACGCTGTGGCCATCGGTCTGGTCCGCGATGCCGTTGGCAACCTCCAAATCACCGTGATCGACCCCAACTCCAGCCGTGAGCACGGCCACGGCAACAAGATCTGGCGCATGAAGCAGTGGAAGTCGCAGGTCGAATCCTACGTCCAGAACGCCAAGGAAGCCGTAACCGACTGCCTGAAGACGACTCCTTTCTCCCACCCTCACCACGAGCACGAGCACGAGCACGAGCACGAAGGGCACCGCCCCGACCACTCCTCCGCCCCGGCTTCTGCTGCCGCTGAAATCTCCCACGAGAAGTCCGCATCGACCAAGTATCCTCCCATGTTCCGCACCAGTCACAACGGACAGTTCTTCTGGACCGGCCGGGAGCGCGGTGTGCTGAGACAGATCCGCGCCATCATTTTCCCTGCGCTTCTCGGAGTCGTTGCCGGAGGCGTCGCCTGCGTGATTGGATTCATCCTTGGCCGGACGATCATCTCCGTGTACTTCTGGGCACAGAGCCGCCGTCGACAGCCCCAGGTTCCCATCATCGTTATCGAAAAAGACGAGCCGCTCGACGAGAAGGAGGTGCTAATGGAGCGGTACAGCGACTTCGATCCTGAAGCCAACATCCCCCGTGATTAACTACTACATTTCTTATTTCTTTTTCACTCTTTCCCACTCCATTTCCTAATTTTTTCCTTGTCCTGTCTATGAAGATATCCAATGTAGCATGTTTATCGTTTCCTAGCATACGCATCTGAATGAAAGCGAACCTTTTCCAAGCCTAAGTTGCACTTATTCTTTGCCTATACAGTCAGTGTATCAAATCAGGCCGGCTGGCCCAATGGTAAGGCGCTTGACTACGAATCAAGAGATTGCAGGTTCGAGCCCTGCGTCGGTCAGTATTTTTGCCGGTGGTTTTGCCACTCTGCAATCCTGGAGCCTGGGGGTGTGGAGTTTTCCCAACCGTGCGACTTGCGGCGACCCAAACTTTCCCGATGCGGATCCACCCGCCGAAAGCTAACCCTACCCTATTTTCCGGATCGAGATATGGAGTAGATGTATTGGGAGTACTGGTACTGTGTGTGGTACTGTGTGTGGTACTGGGTGTCGCAATCGCGGGTTTGATCCAAGACATGTATCGTCATCCTCGCCGATGATCTTTAGCTTGGAGAGTGGCTCAGAGGATAGTTGTAGTTTGGTTGTAATGGTCGGGTCCAAGACAATGATATTCGTGTCTTGCATTTTCTGGTTTGGATCGAGGGTCGTGTGGGGGTAAAAACCCAGGAAAAGAAAGAACGGGGGCATGGATTATGGATATGATGATCGGGATCTTCTACAGGAAGGATAGGTACAGTACTCTGCCTAGTATGGAGTATGGATTGGGTCACTGGGTGTTCTACGCGGTGGGGTGGGTGATCGATTGCGATGTGGATTGGGGTGGATTCCAGAAAGGTTCGTCTGTTGGGATCTAACTAAGTAAGCCCAGTCCTGGGTGATGATGAAGACTTCTTGTTGTTACTTAGGCACCGTCGTTGGATAACACGGTTGCAAGAGTGTGATTGAATCGAAGCATCTAACAGACTGAACAGACAGCCATTATTGATATGAGACGTGTCTTCGGTATCCATCGACAGACGTCGAGTGGAATACGGAGAATCGAAAGGCTCAAATCCAGCAAAGTAACTAGGAGGGAGAGCATCACTGCATTAGATGCAACGAAGGGTGATTCGCATTTCTCATCTCACAAGGTGAAAAGTGAGAGAGAGCCCCCCCTTGGCCACAATCACAACTTCGCCAACTCTTCTCTGCGCTAGATCCCACTTGGAAAACCAGTCAGTCCCCGGTTGATCAAGGCAGCAACAATCTTCGCAAGGTAAGTGGAGGGAGTGCGGCAGAAGAGTGGGGGAGAAGACAGCTGTGACCGCCACAGGCGGGTGTTGCATTGGAGATGAAACCTCACGGTACATGCAATGGGAGGACTGGGTGTGGAGGTGCTATTCTGAGCGGCAAAAGCCATGTCTCACTATTCATGGTTCTTCTTACTGCATGAACAAGAATCCTCGCGGATTCGAGTGGTGGAGTCTGCTCATGCTAAGTTCGATATTTCAATTAGGTAGCAGAAGTAAAGTCGAACCATGCCTGCGTGTTTAGATGTCCCCAGAGCAGGCTAGGAGAGGTGTTCCTAATTCGAACACAAGTTGATATGCCATATGTATATCACCTGCTGGAAAGATACGGACTACAGGAGCGGCAGAGAGCATGGATTGTCTAGGAGAAGAATGAATACTGGTCAGATGACTAGCTTCAGTATCACCCTAACTCGACAAGAAGTGAGAGGCATGTAAAGGAGGAGTGCATCTAGCTGAGCTGAAGAAACAGACTAGGATAAAGGAGACTGAACCGAGACAAGCGAGTAACCGAGCAAACAAAAGAGCCAACCCAAAAAAGATTGAAGAAAAGGTAACTGTGATATCAAACACTGCATGATCTTGCAAGTCTTTTCCTTTAACTCCACGTGTCTGACACCTTGGTAAACCCCTCGAGATTTCCTGCATAGTGTAATTAGCATGATCAAAAGCACTTTCCTATCCAATATCACAAATTCATGCGGAGTTGGTTCAAACCTTGCAAGTCTTCAGCCTCTGTGTAGTCCAACTCCGGATGCAGCATTGGGATCTCCCGTTTGGCTGCCTCCGTCAATTTCACGTACTTGTAGGCAAGGAGATTTCCATTGATGGTGACTTTGTACACCTTGCGATGATGAACCTCATGGCATTTATTTGCAAGACTATGAACGGGGCAAGAATTTAGTGACTGTGTTTGTGAATGTTATTGATATGATGCAATTTCAAGGCACACCAAGCATCCCAACGCCAAGCTCTTACTTATCGCTTATGTCGATAAGCAATCTCAGTTTCCACCCCCACTCCACATACAATTTACTTAGCATATATGCAGCTCGTCATCGACCATCTCATGTCCACCTTGGCAACATGACTAAATACATATCATCCTTCCCATCACTTCTTTACCACAAAACTTGAATCTCATCTAAACACACTCCGACTTGATGCTAACGAGAGTCACATCCGCCTCGAAGCACTGCTTCTCGCTGTCCACGCTGACGGTCTCGAACAGGGTCGACTCGTCGCAACCAGAGGCCGTGTAGGTGTGAAGGACGGTGGAGGTGCCGTCGGCGCAGCTGCCGGACTCGACGTATGCGGTGAACGACTTGATGGGGAAGTTCTCGACGTTCAGGCACGAGCCGGCGTAGGCGTTGCCCGCATCGATGCTGGGGGTGGTGCAGTTCTCGTAGAAGTACCCTGCGTAGCCCACAGTGGGTTCGGCAGTGGCGGCCACCGCCAGGATGGTAGCAATGAGGGCAATGGTCTAAAATCAGCGTTAGTAGGGCTGAGACCAGCAGCGGGAGCGAAGAGTGTAAAGTTGGAGGGATGGGGAGAAGTCAATCGGAGAAGTGCGGTGGGGTTCGCGGACCTTGGTCATCATCTTGAAGGTCTGAATGGGGTTTTTGAGAATATTATGTTGTCTCATGGAGGCTTTGGGATAAGGATGTTTCGCAGTTGTTGGAGGTTCTTTTAAGGGTCAAGGACCACTCTTATATACCTTTCCTCCTGCCATCAGGGGCTCAACTTGCATGTGAATTTCGTCCGCAAGGTATTGGACGTTATCTTCCTTCTCAGCTGAGATGGAGCATAGTTCGTGATCTCGATAGCACTATTGAGGGAGACTTACGTATGCTCTGGAGCCCGGAAGCTGAAGTATCTCTCCATTCTTCAGGGCGGAAGAGGTTTGCTTGGACACGATCTAAAACCCTGACTAGCCGGATGAAGATAAGCGGTTGAATATAGTCCTTCAGTATCTTGTCAGCTTACGGAGCGCCGCGGAGGAGAAACTATAGCGCGTTTGGCTTGCGCCTGGTTATGCTTCTCGTGGAATTTCGCATGTTCGTGGGTGTTAATGAGGGTCGAAGCATGTCCGACGGAGGCCATCATCGATTTTCATACTGCACGAAGATCTTTTCAAACAGTCCATAGCTGGTCGAATGCACGCCGAGGCTCCAAGAGACTTTCAGATACAGACGTTGAAGAATTTTGCTGCAACCTGCAGCTATTCGCGCCCCACTTGGATAAATTGCATTTGGTAGCAGCCAGTTGATGGGGCCACCACTGGTTTCTCGTGTCCGTAGGATGGCAAATGCAATATAAATTATTATCAAATTCTTAGAAATCCTTAGGGAATCAGCAGATTTGGCGACACCAATTTCCCCAAAGAGCATGCTCTTCAAGCTATTGTCTGGTGTCTTCGCGGAATAGTGCGCTCGCCAAGACAACGCGGAGGATCTTGGCGGGAGCAGGCCAGCATAGACGATATGATGACTGCAGGTTGCATGGTCTTTGCCATTATGATTTGATCTGATCCAGAGCTCCAGAGGTCGAGAAGCAAATTTGGTGTAGAGTTGGGCCGTGCCAGCTGGGGCTGACTGCGTTGACAGCGAGTGAGTGCAACAAGCGAGGAAGGAAAAGGCCGAGTTGAGGCCAGACCCAGGCTTCCCATCCCTGTCACTTTATTCATTCAGCTTCAGCTCCTCCCTCGTATTTGCTGCTGCACAATTCATTCTATGCTACTCGGCTAAAATTACCTGCTTTCTCTGCTCTTCCATTTCCCGCTTACAGATGCTTATGCCTGCCTTCATTCACTCAGTATTCCACTCCGGTATACTGCATATCTCAGCAAGTTATAGAAGGTTGTTTCTGCAGCGGGAATCTCTTTCGGAGGGTTCATCTTAATTCTCTCGGATACCCACCGATCGCATCCACCATAAATACGGAGTCATCCACCATTTCTTTGTTTTGGTCCCATCCGCCCGCCGTGTCTTGATGTCACGGATCACAAGATGACGGCTCGATGACTAACAGTTCTTATAACTGGCTGGCTGCCAGTTATAACTTAGTAGTATAACTAAGGTAGACAACCATGATCTTCTTTTCGCGCTGAGATCGTTCAGGCATACCTCTTGAGCTAAATTAGCAACATGTGAAATCCTCAAATGAAAATGGCCCAGTATCTCAACAGGCAGGTTGTCGTCATTTCCGCTGATACCCCCTACTATGATCTCGGATCCTTCCACCGATCAGTTACTACCACCAACAGGGATGCTCAAGTCTGGTTCGACCGTGGTCTTACCTGGTGCTATGCCTTCAACCATGAGCAGGCGGCCGAATGCTTCAACCAAGCGATCGTGCACGACCCAAAATGTGCTATGGCATACTGGGGACTAGCCTTTGCGCTTGGGCCAAACTATAACATGTCGTGGGAGGCCTTCCCGCCCCAGGCACTGGATGTGGTTGTGGGGCGTACGCACTCTGCGCTCACGCAGGCTCTGGAGAACAGCCAAGCGGCCTCGCCGGTCGAGCAGGGTCTCATTAGAGCACTTCAAGCCCGCTTTCCCCAAAAGCATGCACCAAAGGAACCCCAAGAGCTGCAGTTATGGAGCAGAGCCTACGCGGAGGCAATGCGGGTGGTTTATGAAAAGTTCCCAGGCGACTTGGATGTCACCGCACTCTACGCCGACAGCCTCATCAACCTCACTCCGTGGCGGCTCTGGGACTTGAACACCGGACATCCGACGCCGGGGTCGTGTACGTTGGAGGCTAAAGATGTCCTCCACCGCGCTCTGGCGGAAGATGGCGGCTACGCACACCCGGGCTTGCTGCATGTGTACATCCACCTCATGGAGATGTCCAGTCAGCCGGAGGCGGTCTTGCAGATCGCTGACCGTCTCCGTGGATTGGTGCCTGACTCGGGCCATCTTCATCATATGCCTACTCACATCGACATCCTCTGCGGGGACTATCAGCGAGCCATCATGTCGAACTCCGACGCGGTGCGTGCGGACGAGAAACATCTTGCGCTGTCTCGACCCCAGGGCATCTATACGATGTACAGGTCGCACAACTACCACTTTTTGATCTATGCAGCCATGCTTGCAGGGCAGTTCAAGGTCGCGTTAGACACTGCGCTCAAGCTGGAGAAATCACTTTCTGAGGAGATATTACGCATCGCCCATCCCCCTATGGCCATGTTTCTCGAGTCTTTTGTGCCAATGCGCGTGCATGTTCTGATCCGCTTCGGGCGGTGGCGAGATATCCTCGAAATCAACCTTCCAGATGACCGAGACCTGTACTGCGTGACGACCGCAGTGATACATTATGGTAAAGCTGTTGCGCATGCTGCTCTGGGCGAGGTCCACAGGGCCAGCCAGGAGCAGGAATTGTTCCGTGAAGCCTTTCGACGAATCCCACCATCGCGCACCTTGCACAACAACACTTGTCTGGACATTCTAGCTATCGCGCAGGCCATGCTTGATGGAGAGCTCGAATACCGCCGCGGCAACATCCCTCAGGCGTTCCAACATCTGACTCATGCCACCCAACTGTATGATAAGCTTCCCTACGACGAGCCGTGGGGATGGATGCAGCCTATCCGACATGTCCATGGTGCCTTGCTGCTGGAGCAGGGGCTTGTGGAAGAGGCAGCAGACGTCTACGCTGCGGATCTGGGGGTGGACGACTATCTACCGCGTGCCAAACAGCACCCGAACAATGTGTGGTCGTTGCATGGGTATCATGAGTGCCTTGTGAGATTGGGCCGTGGACCCGAGGCGCGCATTCTTGGCTTGCAGCTTAGGATGGCATTGGCCCGGGCGGATGTCCCGATCAAATCGTCTTGTTTTTGTCGTCTCGGTGCTGGACACAAGTAGGGATGATGCTTGGGGCTATGTTGTTGCCGATTCAGTTGGCCTTACTTACTGTTTCGAGGGAGCTGTCTTTACTCGAGACTGTGACAGTGACTGTTGCTGCCAATGAGGCTATATTTAATGCATTTCCTATGGACAACTAGGACATGAATTTTCCAGACCAGGTTTTGGATTAGTGGGTTTCAGGCACAAATTCTGCATCCATGCCTTTCCGGAGTTGACTGTAATTGCTCAACCTGCGCGGGCCGTAAGCAAAGGAGATCCATAACTTCTCATACCGTAGCATTGTATCATAGAACAGAGTCTACTGCTTCCACAGCTAATGCAATGGTAGAGTTTTTTTTTCTGCTTAAAGTAATCCTAGAACCATAAAATAGACCCAGTCACTCGCATTGTGATAAGTTGTAGACGGCCACCTGAATTACCTAGGTAGAAACTTCATCCGGCGACGAACAACATCCGCCCACGTGACCCGTCTATCATCACGTGAATATCCCCAACTTCCCCCCCCCCCCCCCCGCGCCCAGCTGTACTCTAGCTTCACCTTAGTTAGCAGCTCTAGCTTAAAGCTCACAAACACCAAAGACCAACCACAAACCTCCAAACCAACTCAAAACTCAAGTCACACACTAGCCATCCCCCCCAACAACCACCTAAAACACTACAACCACCCCACATGCCTCAATAACCCACTAGTACCACCAAAACCACCAAACCACACCAACCCGAAGCAAACCAAAATGAACACCCAAACCCAAACCGCCCTCCGCACCCTCGAATCGACCCTCCACACCCTCCTGACCACCCTGACCATCTCACCCACCGCCTCCGGCGCCCCGACCGCCGCTCTGAACCTCCTCGCCGCCGACGACGCCCTCACCGCGACGATCGAGACGTTGCGCGTGCACCAAGCGAACTACGCGCGGATTCTGGCCTTGCGGGCTGAGGCCCAGGCCCTGGAGGAGAAGGTTAAAGGGGTTGTGCGCGAGGTGGTAAGGTTTGAGGAAGTGATTGGGGGGGTTATCGGGGATTCGGATTCGGATTCGGATTCCGAGTTCGAAGATGATTTTGAGGATGATTCGGAGGGGGAGGGTGATGTTGATTTTGCGATGAGGGATGAAGACACATATGCGGCTACGGAGCATAGACGCACGAAGAAACTGCGGGGTGTCAAGGAGGTGGATTATAAGTTACTGCTGGATTTCGCGAGGCGCATCAGCAAGTATAATCACCAGGCGGCGGCGGATGCGGCTGCAGGGGTGGAGGAGAGGATTGCCGCTGCGCGCCGGGCGTCGGCGAATGCTGCTGCTGCTGCTGCTGCTGCTGGGACAGACACAAAAGATGCGGAGATGGGGGGTATGACGGGGGCGGAGGGAGGGGCGAATGGGGATTCGGACCAGGTACCCGTGGCGGAGGTCACCAAGGGGGCGACCTCGTGGTTGGATGAGAGTGCGCAGTTGACGAGGCAGGTGTACATGTTGCCTTATCCGATGGAGGATCGCATTCGTATGGGGTTGATGGGCCAGATTCAGTTGGCGGCGGCGGAGGGGAGACCGGGGTTTGAGGTGGAGGGAGAGGTGGAGAGGTTGATTCGCGAGGCGGAGGGGCTGGGCGTGGCGGATCCTGTGGCGGCGCCGGCGGTGGAGGTGGCAGAGCAGGCGAGACATGCAGATGAGGCTGCTCGGGCGGCGGCGTTGGCTGGGTCGACAGCTACAAGTGGTGGTGCTAGAGCTGCTGCACCGCCGCCGAAGCCCAAGGCTACGTTAGATTTGGATCTGTATGATCCGGATGAGGACGATGAATGAGGTTGAGCTGTGAGATATAAAGGAAGATTGATAGTGACAGCTGGACTGTCATGGTATGGTTTACATTCAACGAATCTAATGCTAGTGAATCTAGTCTGTCTGGCTATGCACAGACGACTTCTGCCATTGACATCCTGTATCATCTTCTCAAAACAGAATAACCCGGCCAGACACAGCGGACTCTTGTTAGAGTTATTTCACCTGTCAAGGGCGGCACGGGCCTTATTGCTCAAACAAGAGTGATAGCATCCTTGCTCGTCGTTCATCACGAGAAATCGAACATGAATCGCACTGGCCGCCTTTGGCCGTTGGTGGGTACCATCTCAACTGGCGGTGTATCAATTATCCATCAGTGCTTTTTGTTACGTGCATGAGAATCATCGATGAAATTCTCCGATGTGCCAGATCAACGGAGATATAACTTTCATTGGTGAGTCGAATAGCCGAATAGCCGAATAGCCGTACCTACACTGCTTGAAGCAGCAACCATTCGTCACTGCAGAAGGAGATCCCATGCACAAATATCGAGGTGCCAATCCGTGACGCAAACACGAAATTGACCGTGTTCTTCGCATATAGGACGGAGCTTGGACCGCGTATTTCTGCCACAAGGGCTTGACCCCTTACGTAAGCTCTCCAGGTTGAGAATTGAGAGGAAAGAAAGTCGTTTCCCACGGGATGAATCAAGGTCCACCCCATTGATTCAATCGAAAAAGGCTCTTTGTCCTCGAAAATTCATTGTAGCGCATGTCCCGACGTACGGTTATTGGTGATTCCACAATGTCTGCAGCGCCTTGATCTTCGAGTCCGTCTCCCATCCTAGATCTGCCTCAATGCCGCGAAGCAAATCCACCACAATCTGCTGTTCCTCCAGGGCTTCCTGGAATTGGCCGACAGCAAACAGCAACGGTGCCATGTACACCCGAGCACAGGTCTGCGGTCGGGCCAGTGCAATCCCGATTATCTCCTTGCATCGGTAATCGACCTCCTTGGTCAGCTCACGATACCCCTGCACGCGGTCGAATGCGGTGCTCGGAGCAGTGAGCGCGTCTGCTGGACGGTTTAACGACAACGCGAGCCGGCCAAAATGACACATTTGCATCGCAAAAGCATAGGATGGCAGAGAGTAGTAAACCTCGGGAAAAGGGACAGGAGTTGCCCCAGGCATGGCTGCCAGATTCCGCGGTTTATCAAGGCGAACGCAAGGACGAAATGACTCTGGAAGTCTTTCGACCCATGCTTGATACTCAAAAGAGAGGTCTAACCATGTGGATGTTGTAGGGTACGGCGACGAAGCTCCCGAGCCTTCTACCGACGGTGAGCGAATCAATTGCTGCAAGAACGACTTTTTCGACTCGGCCATGAAGTTCACGACTTTGCATGACAGCCTTGCGAGAGAATGAAAGGAGAGATCCTCTGGGAGAGAGAAGGTGTTACGAATAGACCCGATATTGCCTTCATCATCGAGAGGTATGCCGGCATATCTCCAGAGCTTGAAATTGTTGGGATCGAGGTGCGTCTGCATGCGGTTGAGATATGAAGTCAAGTAGTCCTGCCGAACGACATTCCAGAAGGCCGCGATAACCCCAGGCGGAAAGCTTGTCGGTGCTGGTGTCATGTCATCAAACAAGCGAACAATTGTTTCGAACAGAGGCTTGACACCAGAAAGATGCCTAGTTCGCACGTTAGCTCGCCGTGAGCGAAGACGTTGCTACTGGGAATTGACTCACGAATGCCAATTTTCTGCCGGCTCATCCATAGACTTGTACAGGTTGAGAATAGTCGACACAGCGAGAGAGTTTTCTAGTCTCTTTCCAAGCACGGTTTGTGTTTCCGAGTCGGATGGGGCTTTCTTGTATTGGCGACGCAGCCAGTCGTTTATCGTCTCGAAAGGCGATTTCAGGACAGCAGAGCTAGAGACCGCTGTATAGGACTCTGATAACGCTGTATTCAGTCGCTGACCAGCCAAGTAGCAATACGTGGTGGCTTTGTGTAGCCACTCTGCGTCCGAAACATCAGAGTACGTTTCCATCATCGCGGGAGTCGTAAATAATCCGGTGTTTTCAGTGATTTTTACCCCCTTCATTCTGCCGAGATGCTTTGCAGCCAGAGCGGTGATGGAGTATCGAAGAGCTACATCATCTTTGGCTCGTAGCGGCACATGAGTAGCGAAGAACTTACGAGGATCAGAAAGATCCAACCTGTGACGAATTAGCGAGTAGTCAGCACACAGGAGGGAGCACGGACCATGGTGCCAATGCCTCCACATAGTATCGTACTAAGAATGATTCTTCGTATCCAGAGTCACTTATCAGATCGGAATACATGTCTTGGATGCTTTCGTTTTCGTCTGCTTGGGATGGGCTCTGGGGTGAAGTATGCTCGGTGTGCGATGATTCTTGTCTTCGTCGAGGAGTCATCGCAGCACTGCCATAAGCTAGATCATTGAAAGGTTGTTTGGGGGTGCTTGAGCTTCGGACATCATTCCATGGGGGGCCAATGAAAGGGTCCGGTCTTACAATGCCGGCCGGATCGATATCTTGACTGAACCCGTCCGGCGTTGGGATGATGGAACGCGCTTGCATGCTTGCACCTGGAGAACTTGACTGCAACGAGTCCCCTGCTGGAGAGTTTGATACAAGCTGATGGATGCCAAGAGTTGAGCCTGGTGCAGGCACTGTTGTTGCAGATTGAACCCGACTTGGTCCTGGCATTGCCCGCCCGGCTGCATCGGGATTGGTGCCCAAAGGATTACGCGGAAGCGTCTGCTTTGATGTAAGTGCCTAAAGTTCATACTCAAGCCGATAATAGTTCTATTCTGACTTACGTTCCCTAATGTGTTAGCAGGGTTGTGATGACGGTTGACTTGCTCGCCATGATAAGGGGCATACCGGCGCCTCACAGCGGCACCCTGATCGATGAATTTGCAAGTTTGGACATAACCCGGACAGTCCACGGCAGCATTGATGCATCGCTGACACTGAGGACGTGCTTCATCGCACTGAGCGAATTAACAAGCAGTTCAGTTGCGGCAATAATTCGACCAACCTTCAGGTGTCTTTTCTTGCACCGCTCACACGCCTTGTTTGACGGGACCCCAGGCATCGCGTTTGCTGAGCAGAGCAACTCGAGAGGACGCAACTATCGCGGTATTGTTGAGACGATTTACATCGCATTGCAGCAACCAGATGACATGGTGCGTTTAAATGAATGGTTGTGGAGCTGGTTGATAAGGATAAGGAAGATGGAGGGAGATCCCAAAGCTTGGCAATCAGCCCGGCAATCCCTGTTGCCCATTCAGGTATGTTTGTCCGCCCAGACGGAATAGAGTTAATCCGCTGCTGTCTTGCTCTACAAACTTAGGACTTACGCAGCAACATTGGCTAGACCTGATCGTGGAGATAGATTGTCAATGACTGCCTCGTATTATTCTCGTCTACTTTGTTTCTCAAAATCATTACAGGAACCAGGTTCAAGCAAACGAGTTGGTTGTCTCCGTCCAAGCTCCACTCCCTGCATCTCTCCGGCCTGGGTTCGACTAGATGTGGTAGGCCTCTCAGCACCCTCAGAACATGACACCAATCTCCAACGTATAGTGTCTTCCAACCATATCAAAACGACGCAGGGTTTGCATTGCTAGCTTGGTGAAGCTTACTGGAACAGGAGCAGGGACCGTAAGTGCATTCCATGCAAGTATGTCCAACTCAAGCGAAGTATTTACGGCAGCGATATGAGACCATCCGCGTTTTGCTGTGAATGGCTTCTGAAACCCCCCACCCTGACCGCCTTGCTCAGTTTCCCCTTCCATCTTCATCCACCTTCAGGCTATGACTACACCCATTAAAAAGATCAATTTCCTGTGGAAAGTTGAACGACATTTCTACGTTGCTACACACTGAATAGCTTACACACCCTGGATATCAACTTTTTCTCCGTGCAAGTAGAAAATTGATGATATAACGTGTTACTCCATATCAAGTCAGCCGACGCATCGTCCCCGCCCACAAGCGGTGCGGAGTATCACAAGAGCCGATCAAGTGTGCCCTCTAAAATTACTGAAAGAGCGTTGATCAACACTTGCAGGGGAGTAATCATGGTAGAAGCCTTGCAACTCTTCGTCATGTTCCGGGTTCCTTTACAGATTGCGGCTACTTGCCAACATGTTGCATCAAGCATTGCAGATCGTACGGTAAATCGGCATTGATTTCACATGCGCTTGGTACTTTCGATGGCTCGCTTGCCCACTCCTCAACGCGTGAAATACTACCTGTCACCACTGACTTTGAAGATGATGGCGAAGCTTCAAGTTGACTCATGTTCGAGTTAAGCTTATATGGACGGAGCTCGGTATGCGGCACAGACCAGCAACGGCGGGAGCAGATCCTTGAATCACGGAGCCGATTTTCTTTTAGAACACCTCGGCCACTTGAGGTCACTGAGTCAGATGATAGCAGAGATATCCGCGAATTATTGTCTGTCACAATGACCCAAGACCTGACCAAGGGTCATGAGATGTTTACAGCAGACTTAGGCTTGGACCTAACAAGGGATGAGCAACCGATCAGAAACAATCCTCAACGCAGAGGGAGAACGCACAGGGCAAGGCATAACCTCCGCCCTTCGAAATTTGGAGACGATCATCCCTTGCAGAACCTGCCAGCGTGTTGTTGCGGTTGTGTTACATGCAGTAGCTTGATCAAGGTTACATGGCCGGAACTTATATACCAACTGGCGCAACCAATTCATGATATGACCAGGGTGATTGACAAGTTTGGCAGATTTGCCTAAATGCTAGACCATAGCGAAATGTAAGTATAGCTAGCCGTTGATTTATCGCATTGATGAATGTCATGGTTTTAAGAACAGTGCTTGCCCCCGCATTTGTGCCATGGACCCTTGGTTGTTGTGGAATGTTTTTAATTCCTTAAATTCCAATTTACTCGCACAATCCTCAATCTGCTTGAGTTGATTCTGATGATCTTGTCTCGAAATGGCACCAGCTTCTTTGGCAGGGCTTTTTGGAGCTTTAGGGTTGACAGCTTTAGCATCTGCTTCCGTGACAAAAAGAGGTCTCGACAATTCTAGCAAAGACCATGATATACTTGACTTTGTCGACCCACTTATCGGAACTTCCAATGGAGGTTAGTTCTCCAAATGAGTGACAAGATGCGCAAGTTGACAATGTATCCAGGTCATTCATTTGCGGGCGCAACTTTGCCTTTTGGTACGTATCGACCTAACCAGTTCAGCCCCAGCCTCGCCTCTTCAGCTGACTCTGTTCAGGCATGGCAAAAGCAGTGGCAGATACTCTCGGGGAGAACCAGGCCGGGTTTGCCTATGATACGCAATATGTCTCCGGATTCTCTCACATGCATGACTCTGGGACTGGTGGTGTAGGTTTCCATTGCCGCTGGTTGAGCTCCTCCTTAACAACCGACAGTCTCCATCTCTGGGCAATTTTCCCCTTTTCGTACATCCAAGCTGCCCCAGCGACGATCTAGACCAATGCACCTGGCAGCAATCAGCGCGAGCCAGTGCATGGTCGTCGCCCCAAGCTCGCCCAGGGTATTTCTCAATCTCATTAGCTAACGGCGTTCTCGCTGAGATGACCGTTACGAACCGTTCCGCGCTCTATCGTTTCACTTTTGGGAATGTGACCAGCGAGAAACTCAGCCCTATTGTCCTAGTCGACCTCATGGATCTTCCCCAGTCGCGCACTAACGGTACAGCATCAGTGGATCCGTCAACTGGCAGATTGACTGGGAATGGCACATTTAGCCCTAGCTTCGGCATCGGGACCTATGATCTACACTTCTGCGTAGACTTCAGAGGCGCTCAAGTCCGGGATACTGGTGTCTGGCAGAACAACCGGGCTGGTACGAACCAGACAGATTTAGTGCTGACTTACGATGGTAGCAATTCTGCATCGACCCTTAGTGGAGGTACATTCACCAGATTCAATGCTCCGACGGCAAATGACACGCTTATGGCCAGGGTCGGGGTAAGTTTCATCAGTGTTAACCAGGCATGTTCCAATGCAGAGAACGAACAGCCTGAATTCGACTTTCCTGGCACTGTGCAAACAGCAGAGAATGCATGGAGGGATAAACTGAGCGCAATCAGTGTTGATGCAGAAGGAACTTCGGACGACCTGCAGAAGGTGTTTTGGAGTGGCATCTATCGCGCAATGATTAGTCCACAGGATTACACGGGGGAGAACCCACTTTGGCAGAGCGATGAGCCGTACTATGACAGCTACTACTGGTAGGTGTGACAGTACATTGGCTTGATTAGTATCATAACGATTCAAATAGTATCTGGGACTCCTACCGCGGCGTGCACCAGTTGCTGACCCTGGCGGATCCTCTGTCGGAGTCTCTCATGATCCGAAGTCTCATTGACATTTACCGTCACGAGGGATATCTTCCCGACTGCCGCATGTCACTGTGCAAAGGCTACACCCAGGGAGGCTCCAATGCAGACGTGCTCTTGGCTGAGGCTCTCTTAAAGAACGTGAGTGACATCGATTGGGCGACGGCTTATGAAGCCGTGGTGAAAGATGCCGAGGTCGAGCCATCGAACTGGAATGTCGAGGGCCGAGGGGGCCTGGAGAGTTGGAAAACACTGAATTTCATCCCCACAGATGACTACGATCCGTACGGTGTAGGCTTGCACACTCGCAGCATCTCACGAACGGTCGAGTACGCCTACGATGATTACTGCATTGCCGAGATGGCACGCATCCTAGGCCACGAGAGCGACAACGAGAAATATACCCAGCGCGCCAAGAATTGGCAGAACATGTTCAGAGACGACCAGCAGTCAACCATCAGCGGAGTAGACACAGGCTTCACCGGCTTTCTCCAGCCTCGTTACCCGAACGGAACATGGGGCTATCAGGACCCGATCTTCTGTAGCCCACTGTTGAACTTTGATTCGTGCTATCTTAACGCCAATGGCCATGAAACCTACGAGGGCAGTGCTTGGCTTTATTCATTGTGAGTACGCCTAATGCGGTAGATTGGGCCCGAGCTGATCTCTCGCTAGTTACGTGCCGCAAGACATGGCCTCGTTGATCACCCGTCTCGGAGGCCGCGAGACGTTCGTTTCCCGGCTGACGTACTTGCACAACTCCGGCCTTCTTTACGTCGGCGACGAGCAAGCCTTTCTGACCGTGCATCAATTCCACTACGCTGGCCGTCCCGGACTTTCCACCAAACAGGCTCACGCCTACATTCCGTCCCAATTCAACACCTCCGTCTCTGGCATCCCCGGCAACGACGACGGAGGCGCTATGGGTGCGTTCGCAGCGTTGAGCATGATGGGACTTTTCCCCGTCCACGGACAAGATGTATATCTGATTAACCCGCCATTCTTCAAAGAGGTGAGCATTCTGAACAAGGCCACGGGCAAGACCGCAATAGTCCGGAACACCAACTTCGATCCGACGTATCAGTCCATCTACATTCAAAATGCCACTCGAGATGGACACCCATGGACCAAGAATTGGATCGGCCATGACTTTTTCCGGGAGGGTGGTGTCCTTGAGCTTGTGCTGGGGCCTGAGGAGAGTGCTTGGGGGGCTCGTGAGGAGGATGTTCCTCCGAGTATGAGTGGTTGATGCTGTCATTAGTAGTGATGATATGTCTAGTGTCTAGTTGAAATCGCTCTGCTCCGGCCAGTACATAGATGGCTTTTCTACGTAGCCGGGATCTTCATTGCTGCACGCACGTATTGCCTCAATTACTGGTCTACTTAGTGGTTCGTCTAGTTGATTAGTCGAACTTTCTTCGACTATGGTTATCACTTTGAAGGGCTTGCTCGAGGAAGATGCAAAGAAGACATGCGTCCCCTAAGAGAGGCCTCCGTCTCTCACCCCTCGTATCTGAATCATGAATATTGCTACGAAGATGTGTTTGCTGACTCCAGTGTCCTACGGAAAAATCAGGAGTATTATACACGCATCAGTAAGATACCACGCATCCACCCCTTAATAACATATACCCCAGTTAATCTCCGATTCAATGTTATGACAGTAGGTAACCTCGAGAATAAAACATGAAGATCAATCCCCGAGACTGGAAAGGAGAAGATGCCGACTCCAGCAGCAGCAGCAGGTGTATTTCTGGTACTTGACCTGTCTCTCATTTCCGCTTCCTAAATCTAACACAGCACGAGGTATACTACAAGCCAAGCGAAAATAAGTTTCCGTAGGAGACATACATACAAGGTAAAGAGACATACGAACCATAAGTAACAAGAACGCACACAAAGAAATCAAACCTTTCATTGCGCCAAACGCAATCACGCACCTACCTGGGACCACCCTAAGATCCATTCAGACCTAAATTCCCGGTGCTGAGATTGTCACCACCAGATACTTTATCCCCCCTCCCCAGCAAATTGATAATAGTACAGTTAAGTACCATGTACTAGATAAGCCCGCGTAGGTTGCAATAAGCTCTTTACCTACAGCAGTAGATCACCCACGGTAAATCCCTTCCAGCCACCCACGTCCCCATAAACTCAATCCCCGGGAGGATCGACACGACAACCCCAACACCTCAGACGCCTACTACCCTTAATAGGGACACTAGACACTCACACTGGAGACGAGACACTAGACACAAGACCGCGTGGCCCGCTGCAAGGGGTTCAACTCCATACGAGACCCTGCTGCTAGACATAGTTAGGGGCTTACGGCGCGGCGCAGTAGGTGGACGCGTGGCCCCCGATGCAGGAACATGGAATCCTACTGGCCCTCTCAGCGATCTGGCAGGAGAAACCATAGGAATTGGCCAAGACTGGGGGTTAGGCAGCGATGATAACTTTATTTTGACCTCCGTGGGCGGGTTTGTTTCTTTCTGGGATGTAGGGGGGATGGGTGGTATCGTATGGTACCTTGCCTCGCTTTCTTTTACTATATTGAGGGATATTTAGGAGCACTTTTTCTGTAGTACCTGTTGCTGCTACCGGTGCAAAGGGGTGGTTGTATGGAGAAGACTCGGGGGAGGTACAGATTGTCGTCTGCGGTGGTTTGGGGGGGAAGATTTGATACATCAATCAATTCTGGAGGGTGAGCTGCTCCCCACAGAATGGTTCGGGGAAGTAGAGGTGGAATGATCAACTAGGCATCTCTTTTGAGCGGGGATGTCTTCGTGGCTTCACGTTTCGTGGGGGGGGGGGGGTTGAGGTCGAAATAGCTTTTTCATATCACTTCATCCAGATGAGTTATCTGCAGACGCTTACCTGGTGGATATACCGCTAGAAAGAATGCTATGCCAGCAGAGTGAGCACGACTGGTGGTATCTTCCGCTGCATGCCGTGGAAGAAGCTGCTTCGCTGTTGTTTTGCTTGAGCATATTCGGCTTGAAATGAGGATCTGTGTGACGTGCACGCCTTAAATACACCCCCATCGGACTACTCGGGTGATCCAACAGCAATGAGAGAAGATAATCGTAATATTTCATCATTGCACGCTATGCAAGTAACCTAATACAGGTTGAAGAGAACAAATCGTCTTTGCAAAGAACACCCTTCGACAAAGTTCTTCACGCTCATCCCCGTAATTCCTCCCGAATGTAAACCCATCATGCAGCCAGACATTAAGACATTAAAAACGTTATATGCTCAATCCCTTCCTTGAACTCGTTACTGAATCATCAGTCATCAAACAATGCAGTAAGGTCGTAAATAGACATTAACTCAGCGATACCAACCATATTAGACCCCAGACTCGTAAGGCCCGTGATCCCCGCGGTGCTGATAGCCGTAGGGGTTCGTCTCCGCCCACTCGTTCCAAGCATTACACGTCTCTTCTAGGACATCTCGGTCCAGAAACTCCTTGAACTCACTCTGTCGCTCGATAATCTGCTGCGCGAAGCCTTCCGCCGCGTGGAAGCCAATGTGGCAGTGAAGCAGCCACGCGCCGGGGTTATCAGCCGGGAAAGCAATGACCACGTAGCCACCCTTGCCGCTTACTGCGGGGAGATTGAGGGTGTCGCGGCGCGTGGGGTTCTCTGTTTGCAGTTTCACGGTGGAAGGGTCGTAGGTACCAAGGCCCTGAGCTAGGATGTAAAAGTCGTGACCTGATAGATAGGCTATCATTAGTTCCACCTTCCTCAAAACATGATACGAGAACCTTACCGTGTAGGTGGATAGGATGAACCGCCGGAAGAACCTCCTGAATTATAATCACGGTCCATTGATTCGCAACGCTCGCCTGAATCACCCCCTGGCCCGGCTCCCAGCTGGACTTCTTTGGGGCCTCGGATGTTTGCAGTAGCGTTGGGTCACTCCAAGACGTATTGAAGATCTCGCCACCCATATTCCAGAGATAGATGGGTGGCTTGCCGACGCCGCTAAATCCGACAGCAGAATTCACCGTGTTCGCCTCGCCGAGGTCTGCATTCAAAGCGAGCTTCGGAACAAGGGTCGACGTCGGAAAGTCCTGACAGTCAACGTCGCCGCCATAATCCCACTTGGTCGAGCTTGGGTCCGAGTTGGGGTCGGACCCTTGGTAGCGCAGAATACCTTTGATGTTATCGGCCGCGGTGTTGTTACTGCAGTACGACTGCGGCATCGCCCGAATCCAATAGTTATCCGGTTTCTGGTTCGCAGTCACGATGATATCGTAACGCTGACCCATTCCAATCGGGACGTAATTCGTCTTGAATGGCACAATGGGGACCAAGTCAGCCGCAATAACGGTGAGATCATGATTGTCGATCGAGAACTTGAACTGTGTGTGCATGGCGTTACCTATAAGGCGAATCCGATACCTTTGACCGGGAACGAAAGTGGTCTGGAACCTTTGGCCGACGGTAGGCCCGGTCTTAGGAGCCCAAACGTTTGTTCCATTCAAAAGGCCCGTCGTCATGGTAGGTATTTTGCCACTGTTGAGGTCATCTTGATAATAGCTATAATAGGTCTCATGAAGCCAATCACCCAGAAAGAGGACGCCCAGGTCGTGGTCATAGTCAGCCGTTGCAGGACCATGGATCACGATCCCTCCAAAGACACCCTCCCAAGCTTGAAGAGAAAAGTGCGAATGGTACCAGCTTGAACCGTACTGCTCCGCTTTCCATACATAAGTGTAGCTGGCCCCTGGCGGTACAGGGCATTGGGTCAAAGCCGTCACTCCATCCATCTGGTTGTTGTTCAGCTGTCGGATGCCATGGAAGTGAATGGAAGTGCCATTGTTCTGCATGCGATTTGTGACATGCACCTTTACCGTGTCTCCCCAATTGGCCTCAATGGTGGGCCCTGGGAATTGACCATTGACAAGAAGCACCTGGCGCTCGACCCCATCAGGTGCGCGAGTGGTATTGATGATGTCGAAGAAATACTCCCGAACGACGCCCGTATCTGGGGCGCTCGTGTAGTAGTTTGTGTTGATATCGAACCCTTTCCAAGGCACCTGAGAGTTCTGTAACGACTGACTCTGATTTGTGGCCCTTGTCTCAAGTTTGGACGTCTGTCTGGGTGGGAAAGTATTATGCGCGATTGGACTGCCCAAGGCCAGTGAGGCCAGGAGCCATACAAGTAAAAGAAAATGCATTGATACAATAACGAAGGGATTGGGGACGAGAACCACAAATGAACAAAGGGATTAATGCCTTTCCTGACATGGTTCCTGTCCCTGGGCCCACAGCTTTATACCAGCACCCATCGAGCTGGTTATAGTAAAAGTGAGCCTTGTCCTGTTCAGACTTTCATTAGTCTTCGTGTTGCCTACTCTATCTCCGTGGGCCAGTCATCCGCACTGTCTCGAAGCCTGACTTGCAGGGCTCGAGGACTTCCATGCAGTACCGGCCTTGACAGGTCTTCCCGACCCATAGTTCATACTCGGATCTAAAGTGGCCCTAATGCAAGCAATCCTCCAACTGTACGGATCTCTACCCAGTCATATGAGAGGCGTGTGAGCCTCTACTAGCGGACACGACGAGGTGCTGACCAGATGGCCCATGCCGTAGCAACTTTGTTATTTTTTGGAGGGCAGTATTGCGAGGGGGTAACCCGAGCCGAAATTTCTGCCATGCTCGTATCTAACATTGCAAGCCCTGCTTGGAAAGTAACGGGCCTTGACCTCGTGGCATTTCGATTCTGCATGACGGCCGGCCCAAGGCTGTGAATAAGCGAGCATGGATGCTCATCCCAGAGTGTTTATCAGCTGTCTCTGGAACCTCGCCTATGGGAAAGCGAGCGAGCAGACCCTCGGAAGTGTATATCCAGCATCAAGTTGCAACGGATTGGCCGGGACGGAGTTGACCCACGGCCAGGCTCGGCTCCAAGAATGATCTATGTCATGAATCATGTCTAAGACAATTCAGAGCCCGTTTCCCGTGGCGTATTCTCCGCTTCCAAAAGTCCGATTTACTGCAAGCCTGAAAAGTAAAGGTCATGTTTACCGGCACATCTTACGGTCCGCCAACACATGGCATGCCTGATGCTGGTTCCCTGGGCTTGTTGGGAATAGTACTGACCGCTAGTCGTCCCTTCGGACACCGCTCAGACATGTTCCCCATCCGCTCGACGTATCATATACCAGGTCCTCCCACAAAAGAGAGCTTTGAAGGCGGCTCATTGCTCACAGGTCCATTTTTGGAGGTGGAGCAACCCATGGGGCTCTATCGTTTAATTTTAGAAGCCAATGAAAAGACCCTTCGTACCAAACAAAATACCCTGGCGAGGAGACTCCCGAAAGAGTGACAGCTGTATGTAATCGTAAGGGCGTGGGCCCTCCCACCTTGCGAGATAGAAGATCCTTGGCTTATTGTGGGGAGACACCGCAGCACTGGGGCCAGACGAGCGTAGGGGGCTTGGCGATTGGGGCGGAAGTGGAAGTTTTGACAGCAGGAACCACAAGACGTCGACAATTCCAGTACACTGTAGGAATGCTCGTTGGGAACAAGCGCAGGTGACCTTGTTGCATAGAAAAATAAGGCCAGAAAAAAAAAAACAAATAAATAGAAACCAAGAAAGAGGAGGTTCGCGAAAAGGAACCGCAGAAAAAAAGCAAACCGAACGACCCGCGCCAAGGGCGAGAAAAAAATGTGAGGGCTCTGCCTTGTCAGGCATTTTTCAGACTGACCTCAAAAAGTCATGACTCCAACAGAAGCCTCTGATGCAATAGGCTTTATCCAGTTTTCATTGTAAGGCACAAAGTCACCAGCCTTGGCCCTGTGTATATTAGCAAATAGCACGGCCCCGCAAGCCATCGAATGTACTCTATACGAACCCGATTAGCGAAATTACACCAGCTAAACCCAGTCCGGTCGTATGACGTGAATAGTAAAATGGCGGCTCAAGCCAGAAATCAATATCAAAGTTGAGATAGGAACAACAGCCAAGCGCAAGTTGCTCAACCCCTCGGAGAGTCCGAGTAAGAGCCAAAGACCTGACCAAATGCTATGAGCTCATTGCCCTGCAGCAGTGCCAGGGGCAATCATCATGCGCTGGCACAACACAACAACATGAGCTTCCCTCCCTCCTTCTGGGGTAAACGGCAGCGAACACGGGCTGAACGTGATGTCATGACTTATTCTCCGAAGCAAAAACTCTATCATTGAAGGTTCGAAGAGGTACGCTCCCGCACCCATGGCGCCCAAAAGGCTTGCGGCGGGTTCCTTTAGCGAATCTGGGTTTGAAGAACTTATCCCCGGACGAACCGAGCTAGGAGATAACAATCATGTCTGAGTAACTTTTGCAATCGGAAGGGAACATGTTCTGTCGCACAAGGAGCCGACCTGGGTGGTTCGTACCGCCACGTGCCGGCTGTATTAGTAACGAACCCAGTGCATGCTGTGCATATATCCAGAGCGAGAGGCCTGGAGGTATGGGGAGTTCCATATGTAAGAAAGATGACTGTGAGATGTTACGAGGAAAAACACCCTTCAAGGAAACACCCACTGGCCAGACGCTTAGTAGCTTGGGTTATGCCTCTTCCTGGGTGATATTTAGTCCTCGAATGTATTCTTGATCCTGCAGTATTTCTGGTCCAGTCCAGAGGCATGCTTTCGAAGCTAGACAGCTTCTGATTAATTGTTCCTGATTGGTGATCGTTGGGGATATACTGTCTATGACCGTGACTCGGAGCTAATGGAATGAGATCGCGTGTCATGATAGTAGTTGTGGAAAGAGTGCCGCTTAGTGATTTCACTGAAGCGTGCTATTGGGTGCTAGGACACTTGCTAAGCACCATTGAGACGCGGCACACGTGGTGCCATGGGCCGTTCTGTTTTCTTTTGAATGGAGTGAGAGCGACCGCCAGTGACTGTACATCGTATTCCAATAACCAGCTAAGGCGCAAAGAAGGATTTCTTAGCCAATGGCTCAGTGGGGGAGGGTGCTAGGTCATTTACTTACAGCTCGAAGCATGACAGCCAATCGTAAGATCAGGTCTTGAATTGGGGAGCAGCAGTCGGGCTACTGTAAGTGGGGAAATGTCACTTTTCGCGAGTCGATAAGCAAGATCCAGGATCGACAAAGTCTGGTCCTGGAGCTGTGGGGATTGAACATGGAGAGGGCGTGACTGGGGTTGGGTGGGCAGTAGTGGATGGGGGGTTAGCGGGATCTGGCGAGGAGGGGAAGGGAAAATGAAGCTGGCCTGGAAGAGTTAAGTTAGTCGAAGATTTGGCGATCCTTTGGCGGACTGGTTTTTTCCCACGTTGTTCGGGTGTCACGGCATCGCCGCCATCACCTTTGTTTTGACCTACGAAGAACTTGGGAGTTTCGACTCTACTCAGTAGTCATTGACATTCTACTCCGTAGACTACAGCATCATCTCGTATATTTCCAAATTGACCCCCCAACATCTGCTCTCACTTCCGCAAAAGACCGTGCAGCAACCATCTCGATGCAGCAGCATGTGAAAGGCCCGCCAAGCAGTGAGACAATCTCTACGGTGAGAAAACATACCTGGGCTTACAATGCATACTAACGAGACATCCAAGGTCCTTCATGTCATGGATCTAGAGGTATCCGAGTTCGGTTCCGCCGTGGATGAACTTACCGGAGTACACACAGGTAGCGGCCTGTGCGGGAACTAGTCGGGGTAGTATGAAGCTATCGCAGCGCCAGTTACGTACTCCTGCTCAGCTAGCCACTGCAAGTGCAAGCCTGGTTTATGATCGCCACCGGAAATGTTATAACGGTAGCAAAGAACCGGAAGAGCGCGGAGAGACTAGCATCAATAATGATGATGTTGTTTGAACCGAAGATCGCTATCCTCGCCTCGCTTGTAATGATTGTTCTTCTTTCGTCCAACATTGGAGCAAGAGATTGATATATACAGGGATCATTCTTATCGGAGAAATTTTGCCGATCGACAGACATAAGCCGCCAACTTCTGGTTACGTCCGGCACCGCCGTTAGTTAGTGTGACCGGTTTTGCTGTAAGATTCATGAGGATCTATTGACTGGGTGTACTAGCATCCTAGCTTCCAACCATCCAGAGACGTGCCTTGCACCAGTCAGCACAAACACGAGAATGTGCAGTGAGATCAAGTGCGATGCTTGAATAGTGGTTTTCCAGTATCACGGTGAAATTATGCAAAGCCTTCTATGAAGGATAGATGAATCTTCCCCCACTTCATGGCGTCTCTGCGCTGAGCTAATGCCGACACCCAGAGCAGCTGACATTCAGCAAGCAGCTAAAGCTCTGGCTGGACCAAATTCCAGAATCGGCACTATTATCATACAAACTATACTGCCAGCCTATTTATACACGCCCGAGATGTAAAGGTGTCCCAAACCGGTAACAGCCTCACTCCTTCAGCGCATCATGACCCCAATTTTTCAGAGACCGGTAACTCTTACTGTCTGTGTTCTGCTTTGCTGTCTCCTCCTGGGCCAGATGCCGCTTACAGTACGAGACCACCTTGCGCATATGATCAATGTCCTGGTCGGAGTACTTGGACGCATCCTTGGAAGGATTTCCCTCTAGAATTTCGACAATCTTTCGACCACTAGAATGAAGAAAAGGGGACACTCAAGCTCAGCATACATAAGACATTACACGCAGGGGCCACAAGGGATGATCCCGGGGGCAAAAACAAAAGGGCTAGCTAGCTTACCTCTCATGCCCGATGCTCTCGCCTGACTCATTATTGCTCCAGCCGGATGATTGGGACTGTTCTTCTTGGAGCCAGTCGCGGAGCTCATTGGGGGTCATATTGACCAGCTCATTGAACTCGCTGAATTAGTTAAGTAGATTAAGTCAGCACTAACTTTTGACGGGAGAACCAGTGATAATTTTGGGGTGTATGCTCACTCAATGACAGTATCCTTGCTTTTAACCATTTTGATGTCTCTTTCTAATTCTGATTTGTGTGATATGAGAAGGAAGAAGGGGTTGTAGGACCAGCTATTTTGTACGGCAGCTGGTCGGGCGTGACGTCACCCTTTCCGAGAACAAACTGCGGCGTCATCATGTGTAGTGCATCTGAGTGCAATAACAACTTATCCACAGTCTAGGAATCAAACATTCCAGATTGAGTTTCGTTCGTCTCAGAGTCGGTCCTGTTTTCATGGTTCACTGTAACGGCAATAACCGGCTTGCTAACTTAGAATATTTCGAGCCTGCGAATCACGACGGTAGCTTGTACAGTCTCAAGACAAGATATCTTGCATATTGCTCTATGATCTGCCTTTCAAGAGCTCACGCGTGTATGCCGACAGTTCCACTCATCTTTCAGCAACTCTTTGACTGAGCTACGCTGGATAAGATCCCATTGCAACATCTTCCGTACTAAAACCAGAAAATCGGCCTTTCCCTTCCCCTCAAGAGTCCTTTCCCTCTCTTCTAGGGGAGTGCTATACCAGCACAGAAGTCACCTATGATACATAATTAGCAGGAATCGGACTGGCCCCCATGAGCACTGAGTGTCTTACCTCGATCGGTGAAGAACTTGTGTCTCAGCGTCCAGGGAGCCCTTCGGATGACTTCCGGCGCTCGATAGACATCAGGTTGAAAATCCTCTGTATGCTCTACCTCGCTGGGAGGCTGATCCGAAGTCACAAAGGAACGGGGCTCCCCATTCCTTAGGCATACTTGACTTCTGAGAAACGCATGTGATTTTCTCATCAAGCTCCTTCCTCGGACGCGGCGTCTGAAGCACTTGTTCAACAAAGTTCTCGAAGACAGAGTCATCGCCCTTGCCAAACATGTTCTTGTCAGCCTTGATATCTGAAAGACTTCAACGTGTAAGTACAGAACAGGCACGGAAAGTATCCGCACGGGATAACGATGCCAAAAAAAAGTCAGTTTGCTTTCCCACAGTTTGGGGTGTACAAGACAGCGATGCTTATCGCCAGGCCCGTTGATATCGAAAGAGTCAAGCAAAGACCTGACAGCGCCACGATCCGGATGACATTTCTGGACTGCTCTCCATACCCTTGTACATGTGAAGCTCGTCATCCAATTGCTGGCCGACAGGTTCAGATGTGATATAGATTTTGAGGGTAACGTAGCGACGGTAGCTACAGCTCTGATACGTCAGCAGGCTGTTTCCTAGTATAATTGCTGTCATACAAGACAAGGGTTGCTCACTTCATCTCCCGCGCAAGCCAGACGATCGAACTGGCCCCAAATCCAAGTTTCCCTATCATCCGATATTGTTCCTTGACTATATCTTCTATTCGAGCAGGATAATCACGAGAAGCAACATAATTTGGCATAGTTTCTTCCTCAATTTTGTGGCTGGCTGGGATAAGGACGAAGTTTGCGGGAGAAACTCAGCGGTTTCCATGTCCGTTCTAGATGGGGTCAAGACCGTAGGAACGACGGCAGCACGATGAAAAGCAACGATAGATGCGCTTATACACTGGATCTTTAGCAATAGTCAAGAGACAGTGTTACCGATGGCGAGACTCAAAAATGTCAAGCCAACGGAGTTGCTGGAAAATACAGAGTGGTAGGTCGACTCCATGGTTTCCGTGAGGGTGGCAAAGATCAATGAGACCAAGGCGTATGTCGTAGCCATGTAGGTTGTCGGCAGAATGGAATGGGAGACTGAGCCAGGATCTGCATGGGTTATATGGCGCTTTCGAGCATGGTAAATGAATCGACGCGGGCCTGATGTTTGGAACGATACTTCTTGTCATTCACACATTCCCTCTGTAATCGCTCCGCCTTACGCCTCAGAAGGACGACGCTGTACGTCTCGCGAAGCACAGCCAGTAGGAGCAAGCTGAAGAAGCCAAGCACAATGGCCGCCAGCCAGATTGATCATCGTCAACCCAGGCTCTGGGCGATGTGAGCTCCGTCAACAGGGGAAATGAAATGTGCAATCATCTGAGTTCCCATTACTAATGCCATGGACCGGCCGGTCTGTTCCACATGGAACAGATCGCCGACGATGGCGGGCCCGAGAGTGAGAATGGACAGGCAGCAACCCGTCAAGAACCAGAAGGCGATCAGCATAGACATATTGACGCTCATCGCGCTGGCGACCAAGCAACAGAGCGCGAGGATATTTCCGATATGGAAGACGGGAAGCCGGCCGAACTTCTCGGAAAGCGGCGCAATGAAAATTGGACCGATTCCTTCTCCAAGCTCCCAGATCGTGACGAGCAAGGTCTGGTCAATTTTGCTGTGTGGATTAAACTCCTGCAAGATCTGCGGCGCTGTGGGAACGATCGTCAATGTAGGAAAGACACTATAAACTAATCAGTCCATGACGGCAGGTACACGGAGACTGGCAATAAATCACAAAGAGGCTCACATCTTACGAAGCCCAACCAAGATATAACGAACATAATCAGTCATTTTTGCTTGGTTGACCAATTTAACGGGTTCGTCGTCTTCGAAATCCACGCTGACGACATGTAGACCCTTGTCCACAGTGGTGTTTTCCAATGGTTGTTCGGAAGTCTTTCGGTAGGATTTCTGCCTAACAATTGTTGCTGCTCGACTTCAGAAAGAAAGTGGACTGGATGGGTGATAGCCTCGTTGATGAAAGACATCATACGCAAAAATGTTTCCTCAAATGTTAAGAAAGCGGTAGTGAGGGAGGGCTGGCATGATTCAGCACAGTGACAGCATAAATTAACGCGCTATGCTTATCTATCGTTGCAAGGATAGTATGATTGATGCGATTAGTGCAACAATATTATTGCTGATTGCGCGTTGCAGGGGTCGTTTCTCCGATGGGACACTAATAGAAAGCTTTGGGTGCTAAAGGAAGAGCCTAGGTAACAAGGAATCATTAGATTGCTTCGAGTACCTCAGGGAACAATAAAGTAAGAAAGCTGATCTAGCATGCGAGTCGATCAGAAACAGAAGAGCAAATGTCATGCTCCATAACTTCCAATGTGCTAAATAGTCAATCTTAGCCACGAATGTGCTCTATGCCTGCAAATGTACGGGGACAGAGGCAACTCACCAATTAGTTCTAGTCCCTAGGAATCATCATGTTTGTCTATAGCAATATATTCGGAATACCACAGGGCTTGAGTAGATGCGAGAAGAGTGGTACGATTGAGAGCCATGCAGTCAACCTAGTGAAATCCACCCAGAGCGATCCCACACCTCTGGATCTGCTTGTACACGAGCTCCTTAGCGAGATAGTCCTCGGTCGCATCAATGATAGTATCGAGCTCATCGACCGCATCGAGGCCAATATCCGCCAGTCCGTTAGGCACATCGAAGCGAAACATACGGCTCGCATCATCCAGCTCGGTATGTTCCCTGATAAACTTATTCATATCCCTCTCAGTGTCGACGTAGTCCTTGCGAGTCGTTTTGATCAAGCCAAACATTGTCTTATTGAGTCTTTTGATCGACGGGACGCCAGTGCCGATCGAGACCAGACATTGGATCTGACTGTCCAGTGAGCCTGAGGGCCAGATTCCTCTGGCTTCTATCCAAACCTCCCGCACCGGGTTATTTGCTTCGGTGATGCTGCTGTAGAACTGACGTCCGCTAGGGCCGATCGGAACGGGATCGAATAGTTGTGGCGTGGACATACAGGCCTTGCCTGCTTGCCAAACTTTTGCGGTCTTGAACAACTCGTTGGAACAATATTTGCTTGGGTAGCTCGTCAAAGGGGCAGAGTTTCTTTTGGGTCCGTCATCTGTAACGCAAGCAAAGCTACGTCTGGTTAGTTTGCTAACTCGAAGAGGACGAAAAAGCTCTGTCAAGCAGCATGCTTACACCCTGCACGAAGTATCAATGTCCCTGAGGAGCACATCATCCTCATACCCAAGCTCGTGGAGGATCGCCTTCATTGCCGATTCCACTCTTCCTCCATCATATTTCGATTGGCGGCACAGATTGGTCGTGAGAGGCATATGTCTTTTGCGAGCGAAGACGAACTTCACGAGTCGTCGGTAGGCGTTGATACACTGATCAATGTCCATCTTGAGGCGGCCTAGCATAATCGCGATCAGGCTATGATAGATTTAGGTAGTTAGCGACCGATGCTGCTGCGCAGCTACCGCGCAAGATCGGCTTACCCGCCCGAGCCCGAACCTCCAATGAGATTAAAATAGTCGCATGGTCTGGGTGTGTTCTCTCCGTCGATGGATTCCAGAATATGCTTGAGAATGTAGAGCGAAGAGAGACTGCGGACAGCCCCGCCATCAAGGCTGAGGAGACTGATGTTGCGTTCCACCATCGGCGCAATGGTCGTGTTTACTTTGAATGAAAGTCAATTCAGTCGCAGCACCAGCCATTTCTGAGTCGCACATTTCGGGAGGTTGATAGTCTAAATACGAAGAGACGATAACGTTCTGTCAGAAGGTCGGTCTCAAACCCCGCGACGATGACGCGAAGTAGTTCATCCTGCGAAGCATTATCGGGGCTGTGATTAGTGCAGCCAGTGACAGGGAAGTTCCCAGTGACTGCATTTCCGCCTCGGTGGGACGATCGACAGTGTCAACGCGGGTTGATGGCATATGATCATCAAATGGCGCTGCCGCCTCAGAGCCTTGGGCATGTCAATGCTAATGGCCAAGCCACAGACACGGCTTATCATCGCGCGCTCTGATTAGATGAGCTTGTCCGTGTTGGAGGCTCCTGTGTTGCGTTTGGAGTTGAGGATATTCGGGTCCCATAGGCTACGATGGCCGCCACGTCGACAACGCTTAGCGCTATTGAGCCCGCAAAGCCAGACGATCAGCTATCATTGGGCCCTGGATACAGGTTATTCTTCTGCCTGATTCATTGGACGCTTTCCGCGGTTCTGAAGGGGAAGAACGATGCTTGATCCGTAAAGCCTCGTGTGGCCGCTAGTGTGGCTGCTTTGTCTTCTTGTCGCTCTCGCCTCGAAGTATATTCGTTTCAAAATCTATCGGATTGAACCTCGGGATGCCTCATCCTGTCCGACTGCGACAATGTCATGGTACAGTCTACCTGCACATCGTTCGTTTGCGTTGGTCGGGCTGCGCGCTCAGCTGCGGTTGCTGTGATGTACTGACGCGCTCTTACTAAACGAGTCTATGGAGAAAATGGCCCATCTATATTGTCTTGCAAAATTAATAAGCAACAATAGGGACTGTATCTTCGCAGCGAAGATGCTGCTCTGAGCGGGTGACAGAGAGAGACAGAAGAGCTCGGAGAGCCTCCGACAGGCGGGGTATTTTCCCCTCCATCATGTTTTATACTCTATCCAGATCTCCACCCAAGCTTCACTTCCCCCAGCAGCAGCAGCCACCACGATCTCGACCTCCGAATCTCACAAAATGGTGCTCGCCAAACCCGAGAACAAACACGTCCTCAAAGCCTTTGACCTGACCGGCAAAGTCGCCGCCGTAACAGGTACCACACCCCCCAATCCTCCACCTCCACCTAATCCACCTTCCCCCACCTTCCCCTCACCAGACAGATAACACAGAAATCACCAGGCGGCGCCCGAGGCATCGGCCTCGAAGTTTCCCAAGCATTAGCAGAAGCCGGAGCCAACGTGAGAGCAGCACTATCCCCCAAGCCCCAAGCATTCCTGTGACTTACCACGTTCCTCCTGCACGAAAAAAAGATAGCCATAATCTACAACTCCTCCACCCCCGAAACCGTCATCAACCTCGCCACAACTCTCGCCTCGACCAACAAGATCAGAGCGCTCGCCTACCGCGCCGATGTCTCCGACCAGGCCTCCATCACCTCCACAATCCAGCAGATCGCCGCCGACTTCTCCCGGCTGGACATCATTGTCGTGAACTCGGGGATCGTCTCCAACGTCCCCGCGGAGGACTACACGCCCGACCAATGGCACGCGATCATGAAGGTGAACCTCGATGGCGCGTTCTGGACCGCCCAGGCCGCCGCGCAGATCTTCAAGAGCCAGGGGCACGGGAATGTCATTTTCACAGCCTCGGTGAGTGCCGGGTTGGTGAACGTGCCGCAGAGGCAGGCTGCTGTATGTTCTTATCCCCCCTCTGATCCCGTAGCAATAAAAGATAAATTGAGATATCTATCTTGAAATGAAAGGGGGGGCACGCTAACAAGTTCGCTTCCGTCGTGGGGGGGGGGGGGATAGTATAACGCTTCGAAAGCCGGGGTCGTGCAATTAGCCAAATGCCTAGCGGTAGAATGGGTGGACTTCTGCCGCGTGAACTGCATCTCGCCTGGATTCATCGAGACCGAGATTCTGGATATCCATCCACAGGAGTGGCGCGAGAAGTGGTTTAGTATGATCCCCGCGCAGCGGATGGCGGATGCGTATGAGCTGAAGGGGGTAAGTGCTTTTCTTCGCGCTTTGCTGCTTCGAACAGACGAATCCATGGAACCGGCGGGGGATTGGTGCTAACGCGGTCTTCCTCGAACAACTAGGCTTATGTGTTTTGCGCGTCGGATGCGTCGAGTTATATGACCGGGGCGAACCTTGTCATTGATGGGGGCTATACACTTCCATAGGAGTATACTAAGCCAACCGTCAGAAGATTTGGGGGAGAGGCGGCGATGGTCTGCACCTTAAGCTCAAAGGGTGCGATGGGGCTGCGAGACTATAGTATGCATCTCTGTTGCCGCATAAGATACATTCTTGCCTTCAAGTTAAGGGTCCACAGGCAGGTCATCTTCGCTTGTATGCTTGGCTTGTGCTTTGATTAAATTTATAAAAATGGGACCACTCTAGTCTAGTATAATGGGTAACTAAAACTTAGTATACATGGATATCGTAACAATCCCCCACTCAAAACCATCTACACCACCTTAAGTACACCCGCGTCACCAAACTCCGGACCAAGCCAATATGTAGTTCTGGAAATGCCGTACATGTCTCTCCAGTGTTTACCGTCCGTCAAATGTCTCGTTGCTTGTAGACACGGCTCGTCGTCCCCAGCCACTGAAGAGCCCTCCCCCATTTGCAGGCTCCGTGGAGACCTTGGATATATTCAGGCTAGAAGACGACCGGCCCAGAAACGAAAGCCGAGCCTCGGTGTTTTGACCGTTCCGAGAGACCACCTTGCGCAACGCGTCGAACTTTGCCTTGACTTCCTCAAGCTCCTGTCGTGCAACTGCCTCTGCTGTCTTTGCATTTACTAGCTCCAGAAGCAGCGCTTCCTCCGCTGCTGGCTTGTTGTTTTCGGTGGCCAGCACTGACTGCAGTCCCAAGCTGCTCGACCGTTTGTTGAACGTGCTCTTCTGGCTCTTCTGCGAGTTGGTTCGCACCAACCTGAGTTCTCGTAGCCCGGTGCTTGTATAGCCTTCGCTTGTCTCGCTCGTGGGAGATCCGTATGAGTCTGGCGGAGTATCGGAAGTGCGGGTCTTCACGGTCCGCAGCTCGCGAACCATGCGCTCCAATCGCTGTCGCTCCCGATAGCTATCCTGGATCCGGCCGCGGGCTTCGCGGAGCTGCTCCCGCAAGGACGAATTGTCTTTGTCAATTTCGTCAATACGACGCGTCAGACCCGAGCATCGACTAGCTTCCGTCGCATGCATTTCCTTCCATCGCTTGAGGTCATCCCGAAGCTGTTGCTTAGTCTGATCCATGGGAACATGCTTCGTAGATTCTACCGTGGCGAAGCGTGCGTCTGCCTTATGAACCAGTTCCATCGGAGGCTCATCGCTGGTCTGCTTGATGTATTGCAGCATTGACTTTGCAAGCGCTTGGTCTTCCTCACGTTCCTCCCGCTCCTGCTGCAACTCGCGGGTGAGGTCTGCATGTTGCCGTTGGAGATCACTGAGAGCCATCAGAAGATCTTCGATTTGGGTGTGGAGATCGCGGTCTTTGTGCTGCGACATAGCGGATTTCGCACGCGGTTTCGGCGCGTCCGTCGACAGCTCTGTCGGGGCCGTGCTAGCGTCGGATATCGATTCGACCGAGTTAAGTGTGGAGGTCATGCTCTGTTTAGACGCCGAGCGCCGGATAGCCGCGCTAGCGGCGTTAGGGTTGAGATTAACCGACTTGGTGGAGTTATGGGAGGAACCGGCCCAAAGCCGTCCAAGGAACCTTGAAGCCGTTGCTTGCATCTGGGGGAAAGAGATGCCGGTCGGCACACCTTGAGATTGGTTGTAGCTGGCTTCCAATGCCTGCAAACTCTCCTTCGAAACGAGCGAGGTGAGTGAAACGAAATCATTCACAAACTCGTCAGCATGGCAAGCGTAACTGCAGATTGTTAGCGGAAGCTACTAGAATTGATTGGCAGGCCACATACGTATCCCAGAGACCTCTGGACAGCAAAAGCTGCATGACGTCCTCAAATTCCGCGCAAGCCATAAGCTTCTTTTCGTTGCGTGTCATAAGAGACAGAGCGACGCGCATCAAAGTTTCGCAAGCTCCTTCAAGAAAAATCACATCGTAAATCCGAAGAAGCATGGGAAGCGGGCAGGCGACTGCGAAGAATGATAAGAACCACTGAGATACATAGACGGGCTCCACGTTCAATGCCTCCAAATGCGCAAATAAGGTTGGCCGTAAGCGGGACAATAGGTTCTGGAACTGGTAGACACGGAGATGAAGCCCCGAAAGGTCTGGGAGGTAGCAGGTCCGCAAGTCATAATGGTCCATCAACCTGGTGCCGTTAGTCTACTGAGTTCTGGTTCCTGCATGATGGAAGAACCTACCGCACAAGCACGCAGAATGCTTCTGCATCCGTCATGTGCATAAGCAAGGGACCAACAACAAACCCTAGTCCTTGGCAGTAGCCAATCTTCGTGTCGTAGAGACTAAAACATTTCAGAACTCGACCCAGCATCTGCTGTCCTTCACCATTGGGATCACGGAACATCTCCACGTTAGGGAAGCTGCGCCCTATATCCTTGCCGATCAGCCCTTCATATGGACTTGTTTCGCCGCATAGTCTCTGATATTCTGACAACAAGGTCGAATCTCGAGCCCCTGCCAGGCTGGGCCATACAACTCCTCGCAGCGGCGGAGGGACACCGCTTCGAATCTTGTTCGAAGTCAAAGTCGGGAGACGCTGGGCTGTCTGCGGATAGTCTGCCACCAAGGCTGCCCAGAATTCCAACTCCGTCATAGGCGGTGGAGGCAGTTGCGAATATCGCAGGGATGACCGGGGGTCCTCATCGATCAGGCGTTTGATTTGATGTAGGGACTGCGATCGAGACGGCCTCTGCGATACTTGCTGTGCATGAGTCTTCTTCGCCAAACCCGACTTGGGATTTGTCGCTAGCGCATTGTTTTCCTGTTCCAAGCGTGCTAGAAGGAGAGCAGTTGACTGGCTTATGTCAGTCTGTGCATCCCTGCCAGAGGCCTATTTGAGCAACATACCTCGTCTGATCCCTCGCAACGAGGCTCCTGCTCTTCAGTCTTCTCGAGCTCCTCCCAGTCCACCGCATCACCTTGTCGATCATGTTCCCCACTACTGCGAGATCGAGTCGAGCCGGAATCACGATATGCGACTGGCTGGAGCTCAAATGTTTGTGGGTCTTGGATAGGTGTGGTCCTTGCGTCGGTCTCTTCTTCGCTTGAGTGGTCATTCGTCGGGGTGACTATGTCGATCGGTGTGGGAGGGATGTCGAGCGTCCGCCAGTCGGGTTGTGTGTCTGATGAGTTGGAAGTCAACGGCACAGTCACCATTGAGTCGGTGCCACGCGACACCGTGTTTGTCGAGTCCGATTGGACATGAGACGGAACGTTATCAGAGCTCTCCATGGCCATCATGATGCTTCAGACTGCGATTGTGGTTGGTTCCTCACGGACGCCGCAGCGCATTCCTCGGGAAGATCTAGCCGTCAGGGGTATTGGCAGAGAGGGGAGGTTTCTGATGGGTGCGAGAAGAACGGGCGGTCAATGTAAGAGCGAGACGCGATAAGGGATCTGGAAAGTCGGAGGAGGGGCCGTCAATGGCGACAGCATATCTTGCGTAGAATGAACTGTTGCTTGTGTTTTCGTGGCTAAAATGATAACTACCTTAGGTCGTCGTTTGCGTGATCGGAATGGCGAGAGGCAGGCGATAAGAGGGGAAAGGGAAAGGCCAAAGGGAAAAAGAGGGAAAAAGAGAAAGGGAGACAAGCGTTAATTGAGG